AAAAGAATGAACAACTGTTGACATTGCATAGATAAGTAAGGTTTCCTGAATTCTGTGGTAGCTTTCAGAAAGACTGATTCTATTGATAGCTGTATAATTTCATAGTGTTAACAGTAATATGTTGCACAAAAATGGTGTTTCTGTTGATGGTTCTGTTGTACAATGTCAAAGACACATAAAAACATATTTACTAAAACTTTGGGTTGATTAGCAAAAATAAAACAACGACATATCTTATTACTAAGTATATCTTGCATTATCTTTCATTGAGATTCTTTAACAATTAAAAACATGTTTAAAATACTAAAAAATATTATTACAAAAAAACATCATTAATACCAAGTTCGTCAATCCTTTACAAATATTCATGTTCTTTGAAGTAACTTTTCATCCCTTGAAACATTTAAAAACTTTTTTCTCAATAATCTTCAGTCAAGCTATTATTAATGACTATATTACTCACCACACTAAATGGTCTGGCTCGAGTTCCACTGACTCTACTGGATCTAATCTGAATCTAAAGGATCTGGATCTAAAACTGAATTTAAAGATCAAGTTTTTTCTCTCTTTTAATCTCTTACTCAGTTAGCTTTGTAACACATTTTTCAGCTACAACGTTAACCACTTACCTTCACATCGTTACTTGTATCTTTTGTCTGACCCTAGCTTGTGCTCGATTTGTACTTGCTCTTCTTTAGGTTGTTCCAAACATGGTATGATCTGACAAAAACATATCCAGTACTTCTTCTACACCAGATTCACCCTATAATTGCACTTCATACTAATACTTTAAGGCTGATTATAATTTTTTTTGTGTGAACTTCTTTGTGATGGTCCTGGGACTGATGTCTTTTATCTTCCAGCTGAAAATTGTGTTTCCTTTACAATTTCATAAATTCAAACAGGAATAGAAGCTTTTATTCCTTCTTGTCAGTTAAGCCAAACCTCATTCTACAAATTTGAATGTGCAGCTTCTTTTTTTGCAGCTGCTCTTTTTAATTGTAACCAATTTTTTCATCTTTTTTATCTCTGGAGAAAAAAAACAACATCTTTTCATTATTATCTCCCAAAGATAAAGCAAAACTATTTGCAACGAACTTTTCCTCTAATTCTTTAATCTATTAGCCGCATTCTTCCATCTCAAATAAACAAATTAGTTGTTAGACATCTAAATCCCACCTGCTTTAATTGCTTATGTTATTTCTCTTTTTTGCATTCCATTAATTCACAACGTAATTAGTGGTCACTTAGTTTCAACTTTGTCAACAACAAAAAAAATATTATTAAAATATTATTATTAAATATTATTGTATTAAGCAGTACTTTTGATTAATTTTTTAAAATCATAAATAACTTACTTGACTGTACACGAACTTGTCTAATTCTAATCCCATTTACAATCTTCGAATTAAGATCATTTAAAAATAATTTTCCAGGAAAATCTTTCTTTTCTGTGTTTGCATAAAAATCACTCAAGTTATACCACTTTTCAGGAAAAACTTGAGGTATAAAAAATTCTTCCATCCAAGGCCAAAAATCTTTTGATGATTGAATCTATAAATCAAAAAAGTCAAAACAAGGAAACATTCTAGAAACTGCAAACAGTAGAATTATCATGACTGGATTCATAGAAAGCATCAAAAAAAATCCTTAATGGTATTCATTAATGGATTTTTTAACCTAGAGCATAATTTTAAATAAAAAAATTATACTCATAAAAAGCTGTTAGAGCAATGTCAATAAAGTCATTAATGAAATATCAAAGATAATAAATAAAATTGAAAACATCAGAACCTGAATAATAACAAAAAAAAAAAAGTCATTTTTGACTTTTTTTTTTGTTATTATTTAGGTTCTGATGTTACAAAAAATTTATTTCTGTTGTATACAAAAAATTTATTTATGTTGTTCAGCATATTCATCAAAAATAAACATGTTTGAAGAATGACAAATGCTCAAAATCAACTGCTGTAAAAAATCTTATACAATTGACATAAGAACAAGGTCTGCACACTAAATAAACAGATGGCTTCTTCCATAATTATGTTAAAATAATTATTAAAAAAAAATTAAGTAGATCAATTTATACTTGAGGCCTTTTGTCAACATCTCTGAATAATGGTTGTAAGTAAAAGATCAATCACCAAACAGAGGTACAAAAAGCTAATTACTATTTTAACACAGTGAGTTAAAGTAATGATATAAATGATGATGATACTGTTTAGTTGTAAACCAACTGTAGGAAGTTTATTTTATATTTCCATGAAACTTATAATTTGTTTTCTATCATTAAGTTCCATGAAATTAATGATGGAAAAGTTTGTAGAAAAATATTGTACATTTAGAAAAGTTTGTGATGTTTGAATTTGTAATAAACATTTCAAGTGAAAAAACATTGGATTTTTAAACTAGCATAGTTCAATACTCAATAAAAAATATATGTTAATATTTTTATAAATTCTTAAATTTTAATTACTCAATCAGTATTAATTTTATTTACTATTTAAACTATTTAGATTACTCAATCTTACTATTTAAAAACAATAAGTAATGATAAAAATAAATATCAATAAAGGATTTTAATGCATTAACATATCAGCAAACTAACAAATTAAATATGAGTAATCAAGTTTCTATGTGTTTGGTTTGCTAAAAAAATATAGTCATAATTGTGTTGGGTAAAGTTAATTTAGTGATTACTCGTTTTTTGTACAAAGTTTTTACAACAGTGTGTCAACAAAAATATAAAATTCAAAAATGTCACAAAAACAAGAACAAAAATGTTATGAAAAAATTAATATGTAATAAACCTGGTTGTAAATGTTAACATAATCTTTTGGCCTTGGGACCCCTCTAAGTACAAGGTTGAAAAGATTTTGAATGTTGCGAGTTTGCCAAAAAGCAATATTTTCCCGTGTTGAAAAACCAATCAATAATACCAAAACTGCATAAAAAATGTACAAAACTAATTCTTGTGTTATAGCAACCATTTTTAAGTTTTTAAATCTTAAATCTCTCATACTTGCTAATGTTGACGAATCGAGAGGATTTATTTCAATATCTGGTCTATCAAAAATAGATGCTTCATTTTTTGGTTTGTGAAGCCAATTTTCATCAAGAGCCAACATCTTACCTTTTTGTTTAAAATTAATAATCAGTTTTGGAATAATATAGAAATTAGACAAAGAAAACCAAATCAAAATCGTATTAAAAATTTACAAAAAATTACCTTTACTTTCAAACTCATTTTCATTTTCTTCATTAGCTTTTTTGATAAAAAGTGCAACAAAAACAGCCAATATAAATATTTTTATTGGCTCAGTTAAAAGTATCTCTTTAGTCTAGATACGAATAAAAAAAGTTAAAAAACATGAGCATAAATGTGTGTATGTATGTATGTATGTATGTATGTATGTATGTATGTATGTATGTATGTATGTATGTATGTATGTATGTATGTATGTATGCATGAATGAATGAATGTATGTATGTATGCATGTATGTATGTATGTATGTATGTATGTATGTATGTATGTATGTATATATGTATGTATGTATGTATGTATGTATGTATGTATGTATGTATGTATGTATGTATGTATGTATGTATGTATGTATGTATGCATGCATGTATGTATGTATATTATTTATTATAAGAAAACGTATATATATATACATATTTGAATATATGTATTTGTATATATCAGGGTGGCCACATAAAACTTTTATAAGAAAAAGAGGATATTAGAGGACTTTAGAGGAGGTTTTGCATTAAATTTAGAGGATTTTTTTTACAAAACTACAAAATTTTGAATAAAAATAGAGGATTTTAGAGGATTTTTTTTCCAAGGTTTAATGCCTCGTTCCACATAACTGGGGTTTGGACAGGGGTCAACAATGTCATTATTTGTTAAACAACATGGATTTGCTAAAATTGATTTTTTACAACCCAATTCTCATTTCAGACTTTACACATTTTGCAGAGCATGAATTTTAAACATTATACTACCATCAAGAAATAAAAAAAAAAAAAAAAGAGGAGTTAAAGAGGAGATTTTATGATATTTTTAACTTTTTAGAGGATAATAGAGGATTTTAGAGAAGGTTTTTGAAAAAAGAGGACTTTAGAGCATTTTAGAGGAGCTGTATATATATATATATATTTATATATATATATATATATATATATATATATATATATATATATATATATATATATATATATATATATATATATTTATATATATATATATATATATATATATATATATATATATATATATATATATATATATATATATATATATATATATAAATATTTATATATATACACATATATATATATATATATATATATATATAGTTCTATAAATTGTTGGCTTTGAGAGTACGAAAGGTAAAAAATAATTCTTTTGACAACAAATTACATCACTTTTAATTACTTTTGATCAAACATTTCCATGTTGTCATAAAGTTAAAACCATTAAATTAATTACTTTTTTAAAAAACCACAAAAACGCAAATTTAAATGACCAGGATGTTTTTAAAAACATTCTGAATGTTTTTAAAAACATTCAGAATGTTTTTAAAAATGTAAACAATGTTTTATTTTTTATTTTTTAAATAAAATGTTTTTATTTTTATTTTTTTTACTGTAAATCATGCTCAAGTGTTGCTACATCAACTATCTTATAGCCTGACTTGCAACAGACTGCTGCTACATCGACTGACAAATAGCCAGACTCACAATGGAGTGCTGCTACATCGACTGAGGGTTTGGTTTGGGCCAGTAGTCTATCAAATAATAATTTAAAAAAAAAAAAATTCTGGTCTTGCATTTAAATTTTTTTTTTATATCAATAAAATATCGAAAACTTTCTGACAACGTTGCAAGATGTATATATATATATATATATATATATATATATATATATATATATATATATATATATATATATATAACTTTAAATGCTATTGCAACTATCAATAGTAATTTTTCATACAAAAAAGCATCAGAAATTTATGGTTGCACATCTAATGTTTTTTTTTTTCTAGCTGGCACTTTATTTAATAAGATTAAAAACCATAATTCAAAAAACTAGAAAAACCAACAATTTTTACATATGGTCAAGAACTTTTTTTTTCACTTCTTCTTTACATCCGACAAGGCTGCAAGCAACCACTATTTGAGTTGGAAGTTACTGGAAGAGAAAAGATGAAATTTATAGAGCAAGATAATGATAAAACTAGACAAATAAGAACCTTTGGAGTATGTAGAACAGTCACAGTAAAAGGATGAAACTTAATTGAATGATGAGTAACACAAGAATAAATTTTAGTAGATAGCACAAAAGACGCTAGCTCTTTAGAGCAGTACCCATTATAGTATTTATAGAAAAGAGAAAGAGAAGCAACATAACGACAATGTGATAATGTGGTTGGAGATTGGCTGCAAGAGTAGGTCTAACTATGTTTACAATGCCTTTTGCACTTTTTCTAAATAAGCAAAAGGTAACCTAACAAAAACTTTCCTTAGTCCTTAGTTTTTGAAAAGATCTAAGTGTTAAGACAAGTTGTGTTCAAATCTTAAATAAAACTTAGAAAACAGATTTAGAGGTAATTCAACCAAAACAAATTATTTATTTGCTTTTTTAATTTGAGATAATATTAAAGTTTTTTTTACTGCATTTCAGTTTATGAAGCAGATTTCACTTTCGAAAAATTGAAAAATTTAACTAAATTTTGAAAAAATTTAACTAAAATTGTTTCTTTTAGATAACTTATTTCATTAAAAAAAAGTATATTTTGTTATTAAAAAAAATTATTATTTCATTAAAAAAAAGTATATTTTATTATTAACAAAAATTATTATTTCATTAAAAAAAAGTATATTTTATTATTAACAAAAATTATTATTTCATTAAAAAAAAGTATATTTTATTATTAACAAAAATTATTATTTCGTTAAAAAAAAGTATATTTTATTATTAACAAAAATTATTATTTCATTAAAAAAAAGTATATTTTATTACTAACAAAAATTATTATTTCATTAAAAAAAAGTATATTTTATTATTAACAAAAATTATTATTTCATTAAAAAAAAGTATATTGTATTATTAACAAAAATTATTATTTCATTAAAAAAGTATATTTTATTATTAACAAAAATTATTATTTCATTAAAAAAAAGTATATTTTATTATTAACAAAAAAATCTTTTTTTTTTAGATTGTTTAGATTATCAGATTTAATTAGAGAAACTTTTTTAAAAAGTAATTTACTGATGTCAAAGATAACCACTTTAATAATAAAAAAATAAAAAAAAACCTATTTACTTCTCTCCATTAAACTGAGTATTCCTAAAACTTTTCATTTTTTAAAAAATTCTGTCAACACATATTTTTATTGACACCTTTGAAAAATGTTTAGGAAACATTCAAAGATGTTCTGCTCCCACCTTCCTCAGGAAGTCTAAGTGGTGTTTTATTATCTGAATTTTCTATTCCTGCTCATAAAAGATAATACTTAAATACTAAAACAAATACTTGGTAAACATTAAAAAACTTTTAGAACTTTTTTGCTATAGAAATTATTTATATGCTTATCTTGTTTTTATCTTGTTATGCATGGTGTATCAGAAGTCACCTTTAATATATATATATATATATATACATATATATATATATATATATATATATATATATATATATATATATTAAAGTTGTATTTTAATATATATATATATATTAAAATACAAATTTAATATATATATATATATATATATATATATTAAAGTTGTATTTTAATATATATATATATATATATATATATATATATATATATATATATATATATATATATATTAAAATACAACTTTAATATATATATATATATATATATATATATATATATATATATATATATATATATATATATAATATATATATATATATATATATATATATATATATATATATATTAAAGTTGTATTTTAATATATATATATATATATATATATATATATATATATATATATATATATATATATATATATTATAATACAACTTTAATATATATATATATATATATATATATATATATATATATATTATAATACAACTTTAATATATATATATATATATATATATATATATATATATATATATATATATATATATATATAAATATATATATATATATATATATATATATATATATATATTAAAGTTGTATTTTAATATATATATATATATATATATATATATATATATATATATATTATATATATATATATATTTATATATATATATATATATATATATATATATATATATATATATATATATATATATATATATATATATATATATATATATATGTATATATATATATATATATATGTATATATATATATATATATATATATATATATATATATATATATATATATATATATATATATATATACATACATATATATTAACTATATATTGACTAATTTAAAGAAGCAAAAAAATATATATAGAGCTTGTCATGTTTGAAGACTCTCAGCAGTATGCTTTTATGTCTAAACTTACCCCCCAAACTTATCTCCAAACAAAAGCCATGAAAATAAGTCAGGGTTGCCACTATAATTCTAGAATAAAATTCCTTGATTTTCCCTGATTTTCTCAATAAAATTTTTTACTTATTTTTCCTTAACATTTTTATTGTTTATACTCAAAAAAGCATTAAAAGCATTAGCATTAAAACTTTATCATTAACCCCCAGACACACTATTTTTACCCCCAAAAAAATCAGATTGTTTTCCATATAAAAGGAACTTTAATATTTCTGTTAAATATAGTTACAATTATATGTAAATTTTATATAATTTGATGGATAATAAAAACAAATAATTAAACATTTTGTAGCCATTTTAAAAAACAGTTGAAATTAGCGAATTGGTCTTTGACATATATATGAAAACTAATACTAAACATGTAAAGAATTTAAAGAATGTCAAAATTAATCTGAATAGAAGCTCAAAAGAATAACCAACATTTAAAATATTTTAAATAACTAGAAAGACAATAATAAAAATTGGCCTTTCATATTTCACTCAAAACTTTTTTCTGCTTCTTAAGCCCTAATATTTCTTGATTTAACAATTCTGCAAATAATTTTTGGCAGAACAACTAAACTTTTTATCTGTGCTATTTAAAAACCATTTTTATAAACAATGGATCACTCAACCATTCTTCATTGAAATAAATTGCCATTTAAAAATTTTTAAACTTTAATTTATTCTAAAAAAAGAGAATAAAAATACAATAAAGTTTTAAAAAGTTTGGAAGTCCTTACATGTTGGAGGTATTTGTACACAAAAAAAAATCTGATAAATTCATTTAAATTAATAATAATAGTTGCACTCAATACTGTATAAATGTTTTGCATAATTTTTTTTTTTTTATGATCAAATATTATCTACTTAAACAATCTTTCGAGCTATATGATTATTTAATTAGTAAAATACAGCAATTACAAACAAAAAATTAAAGGAAAAAACAAAGAAAAGCAGAAATAATGCAAGCAGTACATACAAAATCAATAGTAACACTTGTTAGCCAATTCAATGATGTTTTATTTCCAAATTTTATTCCATACCACATAACAAAAAAGCTGCAAACTAAAATGTTACTAATGCAAAGAAACCATGCAATGTATAAACACCAATGTGGTAAAAACCTTTTTTTCACATTTTTTATTGATGGTTTGTCTTTGTCTATAACAATGTGTAATGCTTCTTTGCTTGAATTTATAACTAAAAAAGATTTGTAAAAAAGACTTCATTATTTCAATGAATATAACAGTGAACTCATTCAAAAAATACACAACAAAATTAAAATAAGACTTACTGTTGTCTTCATGTTCTAGTTCTGTATTTCTTTCATCAAAAGATGAGCTTTTGCTGGACTTATCAGATGCTGAATTTTCAAATGGTATTATTGAACGAAAAAGTTTCAAGAACAAGAAGTGTATAGGAAACTTGATGAGAGTAGAAATCAATACCACAAATATCTATTAATAATAAATAAATTTAAATTACTTTAATTATGCATTATATTAGGTTATGGTTGTTATTCACTTCATTACCCAAAATGCATAAAGACTTTTTTATTATTCATTCTTGTAAACTAAATGAACTTTATTTTACGTTACGATTACGTTTTTATTTTACTATTACTTTTATTTAATTAAATTCTTATTTTTTTAATTCTTCACTTTTATTCAATATTCTAACATAAAATTTTAAAGTTTTGTACTTTAATTTTACCATTTATTTGCTTTTTTTGCAGAAAAATAGTTCAAAAAAAATTATCATACATGGTTACATGGTTACACAGTAACATGGTTAAAAAGATTTTGATACACATGAGGTTTCATCTTTAGCAATTTTTTTTAAATAAAATTTTTTTGCTAACTTTGTCTTCTACTTATTCAGTTTGTACAAATTAAAGTTCTTGCCCATTTTTTGCAAAAAAAAAAGTATGAGATAGCGAACTCTAGGCTCTTCTGTCACAGATATATGGTTTTTTTGATTATTTTTATTTCTGAAGGTGCCTGTAGTCTTATCATGCATAAGGATTAAAGTTTTATCTTTTCTACCATCAACAAAATTCCAGTGATTGCATTTCTTTCTCAGTCTAAATTTTCCTCTACTCCAGAACACTTCATAGTACACTATTTAGCACAAAAAACTTTCATACTATCACAAATGCTTTATTTTTATCTTCAACAAACTTTCCTGCTTTTATAATATCTTTCAGAAGACCATTAATGATAGCAGCAGTTAGAGTCAATGACACACCAAATCTGACATAGGCAATGGCGGTATTACTAATATCATAAAATCTCTTTTTTTAACATCAAGTCTAATAACTAGATGAATAAAATGTTCTCGATAACTATAACTTAGCTTTTAAAGCTTCTTCTTGTTGTTGATTGAGCCTTGTTTGATCAATTGACTCTTTTTTTTCGAGCCTAAGCTTGGCAGTTTCTTTAACATCCAGGGCAAACTCTTTAAAAGATGAAACACTATCTTGTTTTTCTTGCTAGGTTTTTATCCAAACAAGCTCTTTTTGTGGAACTCTTAAATTTAAGTCACATTTGCAAAGGCAGTGAGCACAGTCATCACAAGATTTTTTGCATGGGGCATCATTCTAACAGCAGTAAGCAATTTTGCATTTACAAAAACCTACGTCTAAAAGTTTATCAAGTTTAGATTCCCAGTGTTCTTTATTGGTCTTTTGAGTTTGTGTAGAGCTGTCTGTTGAGAGTTATTAAAGAAATACATAACATTACAATTGGTAAGAGCACGTTTATTTGGGACGCAGTTCATACCATTGTGTTATTCTTTAAAATTGAAACAAAAACTCCTTAAAGATAGAGAAATAAATCTCGGAGAAGTTGGTGAAAACATGGAATTGTCAAAACAACAGGCAAAAAAAAATGTCTTATAAAAAATCAAATGAATGCACAGAGGAAATCAACTTAGTAGATCACAAAAACAAACCCTTTTTCAGAAGAAGAAAACAAACAACAGATTTTAATACGAGACCTAACCAAAATGATAACATAGACACAAAAATTTGTTATGTTTTCGATGTGGGGAGAAGTACTTTGTTGGACGCCAAAAAGATTGCAAAGCTATTGAAAAAATGTGTTTCAAATGTCAAAAGAAAATTCATTTAGCTATTTGTTGCCGAAATACTCTACAACCATTATATAGGACAAACCGACTTTTAATGAAATAAATGATAAAGCTAAAAGTGAACACAGCTCAGAAAATGAATCATAAAAAACCCTTGTCCTGACATGTAGTTCAACACAAAAAAGACATCTAATAAAACATAATCAATAAATTTAATAATGGAAAATGTAACGATAAAAATGATTATTGACTCAGGTTCCAGTGTGAACTTAATTGATAAAAATACGTTTGTAAGAATTAGAAACAACAATTATAATTTAATAATCAAGAAACCATGAACAACCATATTTCCATGTGCTTTGAAGTCTTTAAAATTAATAGGTTGTTTCAAAGCTGAAATTGAAGCTAAAAACAAAATAACTACTAACAATATATATATCGTAGATCAAAAAAATGTTGGAAATATAATGGGAATTGAAACTGCATAAGAATTGAACATTTTAAAAATTGCAGAAAGTGTAAAAATTGTGATTAATAAAGAAAAATATATGAATTCAGTGGATAATAAATAAATGAAGCTGTACAGCATTCTAATGCGTTTAAAAATTTTGATAACAAAATCAAAATTTTGATAACAAAATCAAATTTTAATCATATTGATTCAAATTGTAAAGTCAATTTAAAATTCAAAAATAATTCGACAAAGTTGATTGCAAAATACAAAGACATATTTGAAGGACATGGTAAATTAAAAAACTTTCAATGCAAACTTTATGTATACGAAGATATACAATCAATTGCTCAAAAATTGTGTTGCTATCCTTATCACCCTCAAAAAGACATTCAACCAGAGTTAAAGCAACTTCAAGAAGCAGACATTATTGAAAAAGTTAAAGGACCGCAAGAATGAATAAGTAATTTTCTAATTGTACCAAAAGCAAATAAGACAGTAAGGTTTTGTCTTGATTCTAGAACCATAAACAAAGCAATTAAACATGAAAGTTATGAAGGAAACTTATACTCAATTAGAGTTGGATGTCGAATCAAGAAAAATTACAAATTTTCATATGGATAAGGGAGTCTACCAACACAAAAGATTAGTGTATGACATCAACAATTCCTTTAAAGTTTTTCAAAAAACTATGGAGCAAAGCTATGGTAAAAGCTTTGCTCCAAGACTTTTAAGCTCACTGACAACGGTCAGTGAGCTTCAAAGTTTTCTTGGTTTATGCACATATGTATCAAGATTTACTGTTGTTTTTTCAATTGTTTTGAAAAAATAACAGTATTTTGGGAACTATTAATTAAAAATTCAAAATTTAAGTGGGAAAAAAAACCTATGACATATGACACTTTCAACATGCTTAAACGTAGATTATCAAGTGAACCCATTTACAGTTAATAGAAGTACAGTTAATTACTGATGCTAGTAATCATGCCATAGGTGGAATACTTTTACAAAAAGAAGGAACATAGATCAAACCAATCTGCTACTAAAGTAGATCATTAACCTCAACCGAATTAAAATATAGCATTACAGAAAAGGAGGCTCTGGCTTTGGTATGGGCTATTGAAAAGTTACATTTGTATTTATATGAAAAAAATTTTAAAGTCATAGACCACAAACATATATAGCTGCTGTAATATAGTGAAAATCACTGTTGTAATTTTCACTATATCACAACAGCTCCATGCTTGGAGCTGTTGTGATATAGTGAAAATCACAACAGCTCCAAGCATCATAAGTAAACTAGAAAGATTATTTGCTATTTTTGGTTATCATAACAAAATTAGAAGTGAAAATGGACCACCATTTCAAAGCGAAAAACTAAAACTATACTTTAAAAATGTTGACATAAAGCACATTAAAATAACGCCTCGATATCCGCAAGCAAACGGTAAGGAACTTCAAAGCATACTTTGAAAATATAGATGTGCACCTCATGCTACAACTGGCAAACCACCAGCTACGTTATTATTCAATAGAAATCAAAAATAAGTTTCTGAGTTGGCGTGTAATATACAATTTATAAAAAAACTCCTACAACCTGAAGGTAAAAGTATATAACATGAAACACAAGTAAATAATAATGAAAGAAAAATATTTCAAAGAAAATTGTATCCCAAGCGAACTAATAGACCAATAAAGTTATACTCTTAATGAAATACATAACATTATGATTGGTAAGAGGGCGTTTATGTGAAACGCATTAGAACTTGTGAGTTAGTAAGAAAGATTATGTAGTGCGTTATGTTTATTTATATAATACTCATTGTAATATATATATATATATATATATATATATATATATATATATATATATATATATATATATATATATATATATATATATATATATATATATATATATATGTTATTATAATAAATCTTTAAAACAAGTAATATAAGAATTAGTAGTTATATATATTTAAAATAGAGAACACAACATTTGGCGACAAAGAACACAACACTATCTTAGAGAATGCAAACTAGGCCCTTTAAACTCTATGTTAGAAGTAAAACATTGTTTTGCAACTTCATGGACAAAATTAGAAGAAATCTCATACATTGATAATTTATGTGGGTTTTTTTCATATACTTGTATTTTTTCTTAGTGCAGACCAAAACATTGCTGCAAACAATCATGTAATGTAAGAAAACCAGTATGGAGAAAATTTCTAAGACCTCCAAAATATTCACTCAGCTCAGTGTTAATGTATTTTCTGTTGTTTTTTTTACTAACTAATAATGACATATTTATTTATAATTTGAACATATTATGAATATGAAAAACAAAATAGCAGGAATAATAGCAACTAATTTGAAAATAAGTCTATAATAGCATATAATAACATCATATTTATAAGGTATATTTGAATATTAACTAGCACTTGAACACAAAAAAATATTTTGAAAACAAAAAAAGTTCTACTACAATGCTACTGCTACCATGTAACCCAGTACAACCTGTTTCATATCCTATTGGCTTGTAGGATATGCTTTTTAGGCAAAGGCTAGGAGAAGCCAATTCTGACTTAAAACACCCCCTGTCTTGGGGCTCTTGGTTGATAGAAGACTAGAGATAGTGTCTTGATATTTTGGGCAGATGTTAAACACATCCTGCTACTGTCTTGAAGAAAGTCTCATAGGCAAAGATTTAAGAAGTTAAGAGATTCTACCTGTTGACTGGCCATGTACCCCTTCTTCATCTATTAGGCTGGCGCAGATGTATTTATAACACATTCTTTCCAGTTTAGGATGCTGAATACTGGATCTTCTTGACTAAATGCATGAGTTTTGCTTGTGTCTCTATTTTTATGACTAGGCATCTCATTTCATTATCTCCTAATTAGGGTACAGCTCTAAAACTCAGTTTTATGGTTCTAAGGCTGGCTGGTAGTCAGGTTTCCTGAACTCTGCGGTAACTCTCAGAAAGGCTGATTCCATTAACAGCTGTAAAATATCAGAGTACTAACAGTGCCATGTTGTATATGGATGGTGTCCCTGTTCATAATTTTAGTGTGCTTTGTCAAGACCATATTTGGAGTCATTATTATGGCCTAAGGTTTATTAATAGTAATGAGGCAATTGCTTGGACTATTAAATAGTGTACTGAGTACAATCTGTGCTTTGAGTGAAGTTCTTTAACCAATTCAAAAATGAATAAAGTACCAAAAACTATAAAAAACAACAAACCATTATCATCACCAAGTTCTCAAAACCTATAATTCACTAAATTTAAAGTAAATTTTCTTCTGTTGAGTCTTATCTCTTTCAAAGTTCACCAGACCTATTTGTTCTTTGTGAGACTGATTTAATTCAGCTGTCTCATCTTGTGATCTTAGTGTTGATGGTTATCTTTCTTTAATTCATAAAGATTCCTTTAGTCATATGCTTGGCCTGGGCATTTACATTCACAAAAATTCACCCATCTGTTGAGAAATAAAATTGAATCCACAGACTATTCTTATATGTACTTTCATTTAGCACAACTTCACTCTATCGCCTTTCTCTTTCTTCTATATTACTCTCCTTCATCATAAAACTAAACTCTTTTTTATGTTATTTCTGATTAAAGTGACCAAGCCCTTTCTCTTTATCTTTCAGCCAATATTGTTGTTGTTAATGACTTAAATGCTCATCACACTGAATGGGTTGGCTCTAGTGTCAATGTCTCTGCAGGTCAGTGCTCAGTTTCTCCACATTTACCCTTAGAAGCTTCTGATCGCCATTTAATCTTATTCTTCTTCATCATCAGAATCCTTCTATCATCATACTCTTATAACTACCTTAAAGCTGACTGGAACTCTTTCCATGATTTTCTTTCTGATGGCCCCTGGGTAGAAATCTTTTGTCTTCCAACTGACAAATGTGCTTCCTACATAACCTTTTTGATTCAGGCTGACATGGAAACTTTTATTCCCTCTTGATAATTTCAAGTCAAGCCTCACTCTTTTTCATTGTTTTTTTCTCATTGTGCTGCTACAATTTCCAATCAAAACCATTATTTTCATATCTATCAGCAAAACAATTGACCAGAAAACAGAGGCCTATTTACCATTGCTAGAAATACCTAAGCATGCTATTCTTAGGTTGCCAAATCTTATATTTCATCTCAATAATTAGGCTCTCATGACTTGAGAATCTTTAACAGTATCTATAATAAGGGCAAATCTATTATTCCACCTCTCTTGCATGGCTCAAGTTTTGCTACCTCCTCTAAAGACAAGGCTGAGTTGTTTGCTAAGAACTTCTCATCAATATCATCTCTTGATTCCACTAGTCGCGTTCTGATATAGCTGACAAACAGTTTAGTCTATTGCTTGACTTTCATATCACTCCAGCTTCTGTATCCAAAATAATTTCCTGCTTAAACTCTTCTACAGCTTGTGGTCCGGACAGCCAGATAGTCTTGCAATAGTGTTCTCCAAGCTGTTGTCTATACTTTCAAAACTATTTAATAAGTCCTTATCAGAGTCTTGTTTTTCATCCTGCTGGAAAGCGGCATCTGTTATTTTCAAAAACTCTGGAGAGTGATCAGATTTATCTAACTACAATCCCATTAGTCTTCTTCCTACCATAAGCAATGTTTTTGAATTTTCAATTAACAAAAACTTAACCTCTCATCTTGAATCTAACGTATTATCTGATTATCAATATGGATTTTGATCTTCTCATTCTACTGTTGATTTGTTAACAGTAATGACTGATAGATTTTATTGTGCAATAGATAGAAGTGGAGAGGTTAAGGCTGTCACTCTTGACATTTCTAAAGCATTTGATATGCTGGTCTACTCCAAAAGCTTTCTTCTTATGTATCAGGTAACATCTTTAAGAATATTGAATCCTTCCTTTCCAATCGTAGTATAAAAGTTGTCCTCAATGGAAAGCACTCTTCTTCATATCCTGTAATTGTAAGGGTTCCTCAAGGTTCTATCCTTGGCCCTGTGCTCTTTTTAATTTACATTAATGATCTTTCAGATATTCTCACATCTAAAGTGGTATTGTTTGTTGATGGCACTACAATTCTTGTCTTGATAAAAAACCATCACTCTCTGATTGCTTGCCTGATCCCTTTTAACAATAAGACACTTAACCACTGCTGCATTGTCACTAATTAAACATCAAAGTTTATCTAAGTTTAGTTATAACTCTATTTCCAAGGTTTGTTTAGCATAATGTTTTTGCATTAATAATTTACTATAGAAATTTACTTTCAGTTTTATTATAGTCTGAAAAAATGAAAAAGAATAAAATAAACTGAGTTCAACAAATATTTAATATATATATATATATATATATATATATATATATATATATATATATATATATATATATATATATATATATATATATATATATATATATATATATATATGTGTGTAAATATATATATATGTGTAAATATATATATATATATGTAAATATATATATATACACACACACATATATATATATATATATATATATATATATATATATATATATATATATATATATATATATATATATATATATATATATATATATATATATATATATATATATATTTGCCTTAATTTTTATGAATTACCTGTGTTTTATTTAAAAAAAAAACACTTTTATTTTCTGCTTTTGGATCTGGGCGTTCATCTACCTTTCCATAGTACATTGAGCTTACCATCATTGAAGTCAGAAGCAAAGAAACAGCAACAGTCAATCTTTGACACCTGGTAAATGAACTTACAGGTGGACGAGCAAAAATTGAAAACCATAAATGTTCATCAGAAAGATTATTTTCTGCTTTAGATGTAAAAACATAAGTAAAATTTGTAGATTCTTCAGTAGACGCTACTGGTATAATGCAGTCTAACATACATGATCCGCGATCTATGGCAATCCAGCGATGACTAATAAAAAGAAACTGCTTTTCAGTTTGAAGATCAACAACCACAATGTCTCTAAATTAAAAAAAATAATGCTTAAAGTAATCAAATTAAATTAAAGTAATCAAATCCTTTATGAAAATTGAAATTGTATTTAGTTAAACTTATTAGTAATGGAAACAAGCTATTTAACTGAGAGATCAATATAATAAATTTTTAATTAAAAATATTTAATAAAAGATAACGCAAACAAATAATAAGTTGGATTATCAATCAATAGAAAAAATCAATTGTTAAATTCAAAATTATTGCCATTAATTTAATAGTAAATGTACTTGTTAACTTTTCACTGAGCTGCAACAGTTAACAGTAGTTTTTTTGTTTAATCCTTGGTTCTTGCTAAAAATTTTTTAGTATAATCAATATAGAATGGTTAAATTAGTGGAAAAAATTTTTAAAAAGTCCTACTTATTTACTATATATTACTTATCAGTGACAGAGAAAAAATAATTAAAAAAAAAACAAACTTGGTTGTTGTTTAAATGTTGTATTCTACAGCCATAAATACTTATAAACAAAATCAAATATAATATGTAATCTCTAATTGTAGTTTATGAATTTATTAAACAGTTCTTAAATAAAACAGTATTATATATAAATACAAAATCAATGTCATAGCAATACAGTAATAGAGTAGACTAAATAACAATCTAAGATTGTCATTTAGTTTTTAACAACTACATTTAATAAAATTTTTGTAAATTTTATATTTGAGTACATTTTAGTCATTGAAAAATCATAGAACCTAAAAACCAGACAACTACATCGTATTAGCAAATATTTCAAATGTTTTAATTGTATCGATTGTTTCAAATACTTATCTAAGAGTTTTAAAGACTGAATTTCATCAAAGGCATAAAATCTTATAAAGTAATTAGTATATTAAAAGCTTTAAAAAATGTTTTCAAACTATTCCAGTTAGTTTTTAGTTAATTAGTTGTTAATGCTACTCCTGGTCAGTTGTTTTGTTATTGTTATAGTTGATTGGTTGATACTTCATTATAATATTTTATAATATTAATGTATTAACCAATCAACTATAACAGAATAATTTATAGTAAAGTTAATTTACTTCTCTCTTGAATAAAAGTTTTTTTTAATACTTTTAGATAAAGATTTGTTGAATATGAGATAATAAATTTTATAAACTTAAAATTTTACCTCTTTGAAAGAAGCATTTGACAATATTTATTTTTTAAAGATTCAAAGGCTATGAATTTATTGTTACATAATTTATTCTTAGATTTAATTAAAAGCTCACAATTTAATAATAAACTTCTTTTCAAGTTTATTATTTATTATTAAATTTAATTTCAAGTTTGTTATTTATTATTTAATTTATTTTAAAGTTTAACTAATATTAAACTTAATTTAAAGTTCATTATTTAATAAATTTAATTTAAAGTTCATTATTTAATAAATTTAATTTAAAGTTCATTTTTTAATAATAAAGACTTACTTCAGATACCAACCCCCACCACTATTATCATGCCAAAGTCTTATATAATCTAAATCACCAAGAGAACTGTTTGTTGTCATTATAAACATATCACAGCTTGATCTTTGAAAGCATTCTCTCTCAGAATCTTTTAAACGTCTAATTCCACTATCATTATTTTCACCTGATAAATTTAAAAACTTTATTATTAAATATACAGATAAACGTGAGATTTAACTATTTTACAAAAATGTGCATATCACTCATATTTGTCATCAATGTAAAAAACTATATTTCAATATTGCTATAAAAAATATTAAAATGGTTTTATTGTTGTTATAATTATTGTAAAAGATGTAAAACAATCATGAATTTATTTAATTATTAATTAATTTTCTTAAAACCATTTATTTCTAGTCAAAATTAGTTTATTTACAACCATTAGTTTATTATAAATTTAATTTATTTATGGCCATTAATTTATTTTAAAGTATAAATAAACAAATTAAAAATAATAGGTAAAAAATAAAGTCTAAACTCTAATACATTTAACTGCAAAAGGTTATTTTTTGTTGAGCAAAATCAAAAGCAGGAAATGATGTTGATTAAACAGTAAAAAAATCTGTTCAAAAGTAAAAAATAAATTTAGTTTGACTTTTATTGAATATTAAGAGTTAATATCTAATATCCTTTACAATATATTTATATATTTATATTTTTTTGGACTAATATTTGATATGGTCTTTAAATAATATTTTTTCCAGTATCACATAATAACTAATTATTATGATAACATTTGGTTGTGCAGGTTGTTCGTTTTCTTATACTTTTAATTGGTAAGCTTAATTGGAAATAGTTATCTATAACAGCATTAGAGTATTTTAAAGACTGAAGTGTTTTGTTAAAAATTAAATATTTTGTATTGCATCACTACTTTTACATTGTGTCTCTAGTTTGTAATTCCAAGTATATCAAGTCTATTTTTGTACTGTAATTGGAGTAATAATGGTGATAACCTTTTTACTTGCCTTTGTACATTTTCTAATTTTTTAATATTATCAACAAGGTATGGAGACCACACTACTACAGCATATTCCAACACTGGTCTGATGAATGATTTGTATTAAACTTTTACCATTAATGTCACACATAATACTAATAGTTCTATTTCCTTTGTTGTGTACATAATTAACCTGTTTCTTCCATTTCAAATCATTAGACAACATAATACCCAAGTCTTTCTCACAGTAACTCAATGCAATAAGTTAGATTGAACAATCTCTCATTGTTATTTTGAAGTTGAAGTCATTATTATTTTTACCAATATGCATCAAAACGTCAAAAGCTTTTGCAAAATCTGATAAAATAATATCAATTGATAACTTTTTCTAAACGCTGTTAATTATTAAGTCTTGTGATTCCAGCAGATTCTTTACATGTGAATTTCCTTTCATAAAGTCACGCTGATTCTATTTGAAAAATAGAAATTGTTTGAAACAAATGTATGAAAATTTTTTCTTTTATAAAAGTTTCCATAAATTTGCAACAGATGGATGTTAGTGACACTAATCTGTAGTTTTCCACATGTAATCTACTACTCTTTTAAAAAAAGAAGTAATAATTTGCTTGTTTCTATGGTAACTACTGTCCCATTAGTCTTCTTCCTATCATAAGCAAGGCTTTTGAATCTTTAATTAACAAACGCTTAATCTCTCATCTTGAATCTCATAACCTACTTTCTGATCATCAATATGGATTTCAATCTTCTCGTTCTACGGCTGATTTGCAAACAGTAATAACTGATAGGTTTTATCGTGCATTAGATAAAGGTGGAGAGGTTAAGGCCATTGCTCTTGACATTTCTAAAGCGTTTGATAAAGTTTGGCATGCTGGTTTTCTCCATAAGCTTTCTTCTTACGGTGTATCTGGAAACATCTTTAAGATTATTGAATCCTTTCTAATCGTAGTATAAAAAGTCCTTGATGGACAGCACTCTTCTTATTATTATGTAACCTCAGGGGTTCCTCAAGGTTCAATCCTTGGCCCTGTACTCTTTTTAATATTGCAATAATTTAGACCTTCCTATATTTATGAACGGTAATGTACTTGATGAGTCATCTACTCTTCATCTTCTAGGATTAACTCTCACTTCTAATCTTTCTTGGAAACCTTATATCAAATTCGTTGCAAAATTAGCATCTGCTAAAGTTGCATCTCTTTATCGAGCTCGACACTTTCTTACTCTGGATTCTATTCTCTATCTCTATAAATCTCAAATCCGACCTTGTATGGAATACTGTTGCCATATCTGGGGTGGATCTTCTAATGATGCTCTTTCTCTTTTAGACAAGGTGCAAAAACGCATTGTAAACATAGTTGGACCTGCTCTTGCAGCCAACCTTCAACCTCTGTCACATCGTCGTAATGTTGCTTCTCTTTCTCTTTTCTACAAATACTATAATGGGCACTGCTCTAAAGAGCTAGCATCTCTTGTGCCATCTACTAAAATTCGTTCTCGTGATACTCATTATTCAATTAAGTTTCATCCTTTTTTCTATTACTGTTCCTAAGTGTTCCAAAAACTCTTATTTGTCTAGTTTTTTTCCTCGAACATCAGTTCTTTGGAATTCGCTTCCTTCATCTTGCTTTCCTAATTCATATAATTTGCATTCTTTTAAGTCGTCTGTCAATTGTTATCTTGCTCTACAATCTTCTTCTTTTCTCTTTTAGTAACTTCCAACACTAATTAGTGGTTGCTTGCAGCCTTGTTGGTAGCAAAAATGTAAAAAAAAAAAAAGCAAAAAAAAAACACACCATTGCTTAATGATTTCTTGAAGATAATACATAATGGCTTTGTTAAGGTTGCAGCACATTTTTTAAAAACCATTTTATTTACACCATCCACACCTACACCTTTAAATGGGTTAAGTGCCATTAATTTTTCCTGTTTTTCTGCCTCACTTATTTATAAATCATTAAAAATAGTGTTTGCACGAGTTGGAAAGCTTTTGTTATAGTCATGTCTCTCTTTAACAAAAAATAATTCAAAGTAATCATTTAGACAATTTGCAATGTCAGGATGTTCAGTCAAAAGTTTCATTAGAATAAATGCTTGTTATGTAGGCTTTAACATATTTGATAATTTGATTATATAATTAAATAATAATTTTGTATCTTTAAACTTTTATATTAGATGTGATTCAAATTCCGAATCGAATGTTTTAACTTCTTTTTTTTGTGCATGTTATTCCAACAAGTAGTATTGTTGCCTTAGTAAATTTTTGGTTTTTATTTTCTTTTTCAACTCTTGGTTAAACCAAATATCTTTTTTATTAAAACTTTTCATGCTTTTTTTGTATAAAACTTTTGCAAACAGCTTAATAATAATATAGAAAAATGTCATAACTTTCCTTAATATTCTTGTTTGATAAAGCATAATTTATAATATTATAATCGAGTTATGATTCCAACAACATTGATTCATAAGTAACTGATTCCAACAACACTGATTCATAAGAAACTGATTTCAACGAAAGTTGGTTCAAGCACAAATTGCATTAAACTTTGATATAGTATCACTGAATTTATGCATCAGCAAGTCTTCTGTACCCTCAACATTTGTTGATCCCTTTTCATTCCAACCAATTTGTTTATAATTAACATCACCACTAATTAAAATACCATATATATTAGGCATGACCGTTTGAAAACAGTTCCAAAACAGATAATATGTATGTTCTTGAAAGCAAAAATAATATCGAAGCACATAAATATAGTTGCCTATTGTAAAAAAATAAAAGTTATCACTCTTCTTAAGAGAACTTTAGAGAATCTTTAGAATAATGAGAACTTGTTTCTAAACATTCATCAATATAGATCAATGAACTAATTGCTATAGCTTTGGAAGTGCGAAACAATGGCTTAGACATACCACGGCCAGATATGGCTATCCACATCATTAATTTTAAATAATAATAAATTTCTCTTTTCCTATAAAACAAACCTTTCCTCTGCATGTTTTTTTGTTGTTTGTGTAGTATCCTAAATTCCAGGCATGTTGTCCCCTGCAAAATAAAAGTATTTTTTGTCATCGATAATTGGAAGAAATTTTGTGTTATAGTGTTGGTTAACTAGGTTAACCTGCTTCTTTTCTTTGCCTTTAATTGTTGTTTATAGTGTATTTTTGTGTCTTTTCACATTTTCTATATTTAATATTCATTTTTTTTAACTGATGATCAATTGTCGATTGATTTACAATGATTTTAAAACCCCTTTTTCTCTGACTGACCCCTTTTGACAAGTCTCATTAATTCGGCTTTTTTTCTTTAGTCTAGGATGTTGGCAAACCAGGGTGCTTTCTATCAGAAAATGATTGAAAAGTTTTAAGTCTTTTTAGGTTATAATATATTGTACTTCGAGCTAATCCCTCCTTTTCAAAATGAATTACAATTTCTTTTTTTTTAATATTAGGTTTATTTACAAAAAACATTTTGAGTTGCTTTTGAAAAGATTCTCATTCACCTGCATTTAACTTCATTTTAAATAATTGTATTTCAAATAATTAAGTTTATTTTTTATAGAACATTTACATCTAAGCATAAAACCACAAAAACAAATTATTATGCTCAAATAATTAAATTCAGATTTGTCCAATAATTACAACATCACTTGTTAAAGCTTTAAAATAATATTGAACTTAACAAATGTATAAAATTTTCTTTTTTATAAAATTTTCACTTGTATAAAATTAACAAAACCCACAAATCATTAATCAAACAGAAAGTTTTGAAAATTTTGACCTTCATTTAATCGAATTCTGATTAAATGCTGACGAAACAACCTTTTGCGCCATTTTTTCTGTCGTTTTTTTACCCGTTCAAATTTGTATATGAAATCTTGCTACATAAATTTTTATTCATGTACTCTTTATTTAAGTTAGTATTTTTGATTGTACAAATATCCTCATTATCAGTAATATTATCGCTAAAACCTTTAACATGATATAATTGAAAACTATCAGACATATCAGAATATATCTATTGTAAGCCTTTTCTATCCATTCCTTTCTTGTCAATAAAATTTCAAGACAGAAAGCTATTGTCTTTTATCTCTATTAATATTTTAACATTGTGGTGTAATAACTATTTTGTCACTTTAATAGTAGTGTTATTTCTTATGCCACAAAAACAAAAAAATGATTTGATGGTTAACGCTTAAAACGTTTATCACCTCTTGCTTATCATGATGTAGACATGTTGCCTTGTCATTAGATGTTGACTGCCTTATATCAAAGACAATTAAATTTTTGTCTCTCTTTGTTCTTTTATTTGCCTCTTGTAGAACAGAATTCATTAAATCAAATTGATTTTATGATTTTTTAAGGCTTTAAACCATTACCATAGAACATGATTCACAGCTAGATTTTCTAGATGCACTTCTATTGATTTTATTTTTTAGTTTATTTACTTTTTTGTCTAGACCAAAATTCGCTTTGTCCTTTTTATTTAGCGACTTTTAAACTCTTGCAGTCAACCCATCTACAATAACTTTCAGCACTGCAACAGCTGACAATATTCTATTTTTATAATTTTGTTTTCTAAAATTTATCAAATTTTTTTTTTATAAATAAAAAATGATTTAAATATCAAATGAAGATTAATTTATTTAATATTATTCAACTCGAAGTTTGTTAGTAATTATTTATGAATTGTTTGAAGAAATTTGTAGAAGAATTTATAAAGAAAAAATTTTCAATTTTTTATTTTAACGTTATAGATTTATCAAGTCTAGCTTAACCATAGTTTCTTTTATTTACTTTAATATACTCATTTGAGGATTGTTAACATTATGTAATATGATTGACTACATGCGGTTATAATCACAAAGTAATGCTTAAATGATAATAGTAAATCTTAGTTTTCATTATTGAAATTCTATAAATTCTATATAACACAATTGCTGCAAACACTATCTGAAATAAAACAGTGCCAAAAAAAATTACATGATTTTTAAACCTAAAAATAATAATATAAAATACTGCAGAACAAACAAAAACAGGTCTGAACTTTATAAGAAGAACTCAAAAAAGTAAATTAAGTTTTTTTCAGAGAGAAAAGATTCTTACTATCAAGTTATGAGCAAGTGATGCAGTACCACACAATCCGAAAAAACACAATCCGAAAAATAAAGTTACTCAAAAAGAGCAAAAAAAAATTAATCAAAAACATTAGTTTACTTAAATTTGTCAGATAAAGAAAAAGATAAAGTGCAAAACGATTGTTCATTTTTCATTATTTTCTAAACAAATAAAGTTTTTTTTTCTTATTCTTTATTTGTATCATTTTTGTTTAAAAACAATCATTTGTTATGACAAAATTATGACAAAAAATATGCTAAAAATAAGGCAGATAAATAAAAACATTAACTAAGAGAAGTAAAAACTAAGAGTTAACCCTCACAGTTTAAAATATAAAATATTCCAAATTTCAAACAAAAAAAATAAAAATACTTTGAGCATAGTAAATTCTAAATGACATAAAAAAAAATAAAACAGCAAAATACAAAAAAAGAATAATGTATAGTTTTTTTGTTAAAAGCTTATTCTTTAACATATATATTTTTTAAATAAGCGTTTCTTATGCATTATTTGACTTCATGACAATATAGGTCCCATAATAAAGTACACAATCACAAAAAGTATAAGCAAAAAGCAATAAGCAAAAAGCACAAATTTACAACAATTTACAGAAAATTTAATCATCTGGACAATTATTTGATGATTTACTTTTCAGTTTTTATCATTTCCAATCATTGGTATTTTTATTTATAATATGGATAATAGTTACATAGAGTTTGAACAACTTATAGAACTATTATTAATATGGTAGATAAAATAATTATTTCTAGAGCCGGAAATTAACCTTTGAATAACTTTTTTTAGAACTGCAACGCAACAAAAAATAAAAAATCAATAAACCAGATTTAATTCAAAATTTAAAAAATTTGATAAATTCAACATGACACAACTAAATAAAAAATCACTTACCAGTGACAGTAAAAAAAATGTTAGATTTAGTGCCAGCATTTCTCCGGTTACCAGTATTTACTATTATTTGATATAAATAATTATCTTCCGGCAAATTATCAAGAAGTGGGCAAACACCAACCTTAATATTTCAAAATAAATTTAATATTAGACTGTGTTTTAAAATTTTATACCTTCTAAGCCAAACTTATGCTTTTTTTTTTTTAAGTAGCCAGTTATGAAATTTCTTATTAGTAGAATGTTTTTAATATGAAAATGAAAAAAAAAAAGACAAAATAAAGCAAATCAAAACAGCTTTTATCATATATGAATTTTATATTCCGGGGTACTAAGTTTCTAATTTAGTATTTTTCTAACTCAGAATATCTACAACAAATAGAAAATACTTTTGTTAAAATAACTTTGTTTTTATGACAACTTTGTTTCTATGATAATTTTTTCAAAAGTTATCAAGATGATTAAATTTTAAAATTTGTCTGTTTTTAAAAAACTTTTTTAATTCATATTCAAAAAAAAAAGAACTTTTTAGAACATTTACACTTTGTTACAATTGTTTGAAACTGTTACAACTGTTTGAAAGTTTATAGAATCTTCCAACAAACTTTTTATAAAAAATCGTTGTTTATGTCACTAAAGAATAAAAAATCGTTGTTTATGTTACTGATGAATAAAAAATCATTTTTTACGTTATTCATAAATAAAATATCATTGTAAAAAATTATTTTTTGGTTAAGATGACATGGACAAGTTGTTTGTACTGAGCAAATGCATTTTGAAAGAAAAAAGAAAAAATGTATTCTGTGAAAGAACATTAACAAGTTGTGCTTTAAACATGAGTCAAACATCAGCAAGCATATTGGGGTTGAAGACTAGCTTTATACACCTCATTTCACATGTAAATATCATAAGATAAGATGAACATTTGAGGCTTGGTTATAATAAAAACTTAACAGCAACCAAAAGACCACTAAATCAACTGCAACATCTGCTTGATGGATCTTACAAAATGTTGCACTGACATATTTTTGCCAATATGATGTTTTGATAGGAAGAGCCAGCTCAATTGCTTATGCAAACACTCCTTTTTCAATTGCTTCAGTGCCACACTACTTTAAGCTGTTTTAGAATACAACTTTACACATGCATTTGCAGAGTAAAGAAAATACCTCTTAAGCCAGAAATATCTCTGATCAGATGTTTATTAACAAAATTAAAAAAGAAAATGTCAGCTAATTTCAAATTTGTTTTAAATAACTAATTCAATACAATGATCGCAATTAGTAGAACTGTTTATTTAACATAAAAAAGAACTATTGATATAACATGAACTAAGCATATGTTTATAGTAAAAAAAATATTAAGATGTTTTAAAAAACAGTTGCAGCATATATTTATAATAAAAAATTTATCAAAATAAAATTATTTTTCTAATTCAGCTTTAATTGATGTATGTATATATATATATATATATATATATATATATATATATATATATATATATATATATATATATATATATATATATATATATATATTTTTATTATATACACAGTATGTGTCAAAATTGTCACCATGTTTGAACAAAAAAATATTTTATATATATTTTATTAGAAAAGCAGTGAAAAAAAATAAAGTTTTAGTTTTAAAAATTAAATTTAAGACTTAGCTAACTAAAAATATAGCTTTTTATTAAATTTATAAGATATTGAATTTTTTTAAAAAATTTTATGTGAAAAGCTAATGGTGACAATTTTGTCGCAAATGAAAGCAATTAACATGTACAGTTTTTGCTTTAGACAAGATTTCTATCATAGTTTTAAATTTCTAAAAAAGTTACAATTTTTGTTGATATTTCCTAAACGATTATTAAGATTTGATTTATTTAAAATAATTTTATCTTCTTTCTCTATCTATCACACATATACTGTATATATATATATATATATATATATATATATATATATATATATATATATATATATATATATATATATATATATGTTTACAGACTTAGGCTAGACTAAGTTTAATGCTGAGCTATTAGCATTCATGCTCAAGCAGTGGACTTGCTGGATCACATTGTGCTTGTCACATATCAAAGAAGACAACATTAAACATTTATTGATTTTTTTCCTAATATTCTTAACAAACTCTTTGATTATTAAAGTTATATATTCTTCTGCGACAAAAAGGTTAAACTATTTAAGGGTATATGTTTCATCTGTAAAGTGAATACTGTCTATTCATAGTCAGTTTATGAAAAGTTTTACTCACAACTTTATAACCTTCCTAAGCAAAAGCTAGAAGTTAACTTATTACCTATTACTAATATTATCTGCTATACCAAAGGATAACATCTGTGTTTATCTGTATTTATGAGTTAAAAATATCCTTATTGCTGTGTTTACCCATGTTACTTTATATATATCTTTGTATTCTATCTGAACCTCTAGAGGGGTGTTTAAATGTGTATTCTGTATGAACCTTTAGTGCAGTGTTAGCTCACCCATAATTAACTATATGTATGATTGTGTTCTGTTTAAACCTTTAGTGTAGTGTTAGCTCAGTGACTGACTAGTAACTACAACCATATAACAAAATGCTCCTTTTAATTTACAATATATTTTTAGATATGTTTCTTTAAAGTAAATTCAAAAGCTCCTGAGCAATATGTTAGAGTTCTGTTTACAGAAATAATTACTTTTAACTACACCAGGTAAAAACAAGTTCAGGATCGTTGTGATCACCCTATTACTGGTAACATTTAATTGAGTGCAAACTGCCATATGTCTAGCTGCCATGTAGGATTCACTTGGATTGGCAACAGCTAAGAGAAGATAATAATAATTTTAAATTACACCTATCTTGTAGCACATAGTTGAGCAACGGTGTTAGAGATGGTATCTCATTAAAAATAATCATCTTAGGCAAATGTTAACTGCATCCAGATATTGTCTGAAGAAGGTCTCTGAGACATTCAAGGTGTAAACGTATGTTAAGAGTAAAAGTTCTGTAGATCAGTCTTGAACCAACTCCTTACCTGACAAAGATGTATACCTGTATAACACTATTTCTGGCCAAGGATGTTGAGCACAACATGTTCTTGACTTTACTCATGAGATTTTGCCTCTTTTTTAGCTATGCAAATCTTTCTGCTATTTGAAGGTACAGCTCTAAAACTAAGCTTAATGGTTCTTAGGCTGGCTAATGGTAAGGTTTCTCAGATTCTGTAGCTTTTAGAGAGGTTGATTCTATCAACAGCTTTTAGAGAGGTTGATTCTATCAACAGCTTTTAGAGAGGATGATTCTATCAACAGCTGTAAAATTAGAGTATCAGAATAATAACAGTGCAATGTTGAGCTATAGTGGAGTCCCTGTTAATGCTTTTGGTGTACATTGTAAAATTATATTAGAAGCCATTTGGTACAACTTTGGGTCAATTATCAAACTTGAGGCAACTGCATAGCTCATTGTTTAGGGTGCTATGCACTACCTAAAATCAAGTTAAGTTCTTAAGTATTTGATTAAATCAAGTATTAAATAGTTTATTATCAATGAATATATAACATGCTAAAATATAAAATCAAATATTTAACCATACCAATCAATATATAATATAATTTATATAATATAAATCAATTACATGTTTATAGTTCGTGGTCTAATTTTTGGAATCTTTAAACAATTATTTGTTCAAAACAAAAATAATTTTTTGATTTAAAAAAAAATTGTTTTATATAATAATTATTATTATAAAAAAAAGTTAAATCAGAAAATAAAAATAAATGTTCAATCATTGACATTGCTTAGATATATTGTTTTAAAGCAACTAATGAAATGTGACAATGTTAACTACATGACATAATAAACAAATTATTAAAACAAAACCATTTTATCATTAAGTTTTAAATACAGAAAATTGAAAAAGGTTCAACTTGTATGACCTTATATTATGTAAAGCAAATAAAAAACTTTTTAGACAAGTTGCACAGCTGGTGATTGAAGACAAGTTTATTACATTCATAACAGGTTATTGTTCATTGAATTTTTCTTAATTTCCTAATTGACAGGTTATAGTAATGTTGTTTTTGTCGAGTCTATGATTTGCACTTTTTAGCCATAAAAATAATCATGTTTCTAATAAAAAAAAAAAGAGAAAAAAGAGAGAAAAAATAGTTATCTAACCTTTGAAACATCCCTTTTATCCATTCTCCTGCTCAATACCAATCCAATAATCCACAAAAAAATAATTATGATAACTGTTACAAGTAAAACATATCCTTTTTTGATTAAAGCAATACTTAGTTTTGGTAAAGGATTTGGAGCAACAAAAAATCCACCAAAAGCAGTAAGATGGGTGCATTTACAATTTGTGAAAAGAAAACTGGTATTGAGAACATTAAGCTAAATATATATATATATATATATATATATATATATATATATATATATATATATATATATATATATATATATATATATATATATATAATTATATATATATATATAATTATATATATATATATAATTATATATATATATATAATTATATATATGAGTGGGTCAGAAGCCAAGAGGTACAAGGGACATTTTCATAGTTTTGAGATACAGCTGTTTAAAGTTAAAGTATTTTTGTTAAATATACTCAGCTATTGTTATGTTTTTCCAGCAGAAAGCAGCACAGGGCAGAGATTCACTTGTATCCCCTGGCCACCAACAATTTTGTTTGCTTCTTCTATCAAATTCTATACTTAACTTAATTTTGGTAAAACTGTCACTAGTAGCTCTTGAATTCTGACCCACTCATATACATATATATAATTATATATATATATATATATATATATATATATATATATATATATATATATATATATATATATATATATATATATATATATATATATATATATATATATATATATATATATATATATGATTTAAAGGATAACATCTTGTGTGAGAGTATATTTATATATTATTTTAAAACATCAAAAATACGATTTCTCTCAACACTTATAATTTTTTTATTATTATAGAAATTTTCGCTGGATTTTAGATACCAGCTTCTTCAGCTTGTTAAATGTTACAGTAATTAATAAAATCGTTATAATTTAAATTAAAACGTTGCTATTGACGTCAGCGGTTGAATGGCTTCTTTTTCGCTGAAATTTAAAAAATGGCGTCCAAAACTTAGTTTTTACGTATTGACCCTCATCGAGATTAATCCCGCCATTTTTTGCAGAACACATGTTTTTTTGTATTTCTAGGGCTTCCCTAACTTTTCTTTCAAATTTTTTATTTTCTACTTTAAATGTTTTTGTTTGTTCCCAAATAATTTCTTTTTTGCAAAATGTTTTATGCAGAGCTAATGCGGATTGATGCTGCTTATTCTCATCAATGCTTTTTTGGTGTTGATGCATTCGTGTGTTTACTTTCATTTTTGTTTCGCCTACATACACTTTTGAACAGTTGCATTTGATTATATATGTTCCCGGTTGACTGTTATTAGGTAGTTTTGATTTATTTTTTGATGTTAACAGGGATCTTAAGTTTGGGTTTGATTTGAATACCGCTCTGTAACCAGCTTATCGGAATATTTTCCTAAGTTTTGGTGAGAGATTGGGTACCCATGGTAAGGAAACTACAGGATAATTATTGATTTCAGATGGAATTGTAATTTTATTTTGTCTTTTGTGTTGAAACTGATGCGCAATATTCATCATTTGAGTTTTATCGTAACCATTTTCAATAAACACGTCGATTAGAAAATTTATTTCATTTTGCAAGTAAGACTTACTACAGATTGAGTAAGCTCGGTGGAGAAATCCTTTAAAAATAGAGTTCAAAATATTTGGATCATGATTTGAGTGTGGCTTAATTTGAATGTTAGTGATAGCATCTTTCCGATATACTGCGTATTCATACTTTCCTGTTTTTTTATTCATAATTTGTATATCCAGATAATTTAGTGTTCCTAACTCGTTTTCAACTTCAATTGTATACAGAGCAGTATTCAAATCAAACCCAAACTTAAGATCCCTGTTAACATCAAAAAATAAATCAAAACTACCTAATAACAGTCAACCGGGAACATATATAATCAAATGCAACTGTTCAAAAGTGTATGTAGGCGAAACAAAAATGAAAGTAAACACACGAATGCATCAACACCAAAAAAGCATTGATGAAAATAAGCAGCATCAATCCGCATTAGCTCTGCATAAAACATTTTGCAAAAAAGAAATTATTTGGGAACAAACAAAAACATTTAAAGTAGAAAATAAAAAATTTGAAAGAAAAGTTAGGGAAGCCCTAGCAATACAAAAAAACATGTGTTCTGCAAAAAATGGCAGGATTAATCTCAATGAGGGTCAATACGTAAAAACTAAGTTTTGGACGCCATTTTTTAAATTTCAGCGAAAAAGAAGCCATTCAACCGCTGACGTCAATAGCAACGTTTTAATTTAAATTATAACGATTTTATTAATTACTGTAACATTTAACAAGCTGAAGAAGCTGGTATCTAAAATCCAGCGAAAATTTCTATAATAATAAAAAAATTATAAGTGTTGAGAGAAATCGTATTTTTGATGTTTTAAAATAATATATATATATATATATATATATATATATATATATATATATATATATATATATATATATATATATATATATATATATATATATATATATATATATATATATATATACATGTATGAAAAAATAAATATTATATTTTTTTTAATAGAAAAGTTATGAAGAAAAATGAAATTTTAGTTTTATTAGTTAAATTTAAGACTTAGCTAACTGAATTAATTGCTTTTTATTAAATTTAGAGGATATTGAATTTTTTTTTTAACCTTAATGTGAAGAGCTAATGGGGACAATTTTGTCACCATTAAAAGCAATGAAAGCAAATAACATATTGTAGTAAATTAATATCGAGTGTATCCTCCCTTAGATTTAATTACAGCCTGATTTATTTCAGGAACACTAGCAACCAATTTGTGGCATTACTCAGGTGTAATTGAGTACCAAAACTCTTTTACAGGAGCCCAAAGTTCATCCTTATTCTTAGGTGGAGTAGGAAAGTTGTAGACCTGTTGTTTAACTATTGCCCATAAATTTTCGAGTGGGTAAAGATCAGGGCTTTGTGTTGGCCAGTCAACGACTTTCAATTTTTTCTCATTAAGAAATTTAATGGTCTTATCAGCCTTTTGCCTGGGGTAGTTGTCTTGCATGAACATCGTGTTACGTACAGTTCTACCCCATTTTCAAAGGGACTTGAAATATGCGACCTTAAGTATGTTGATATAGTCATCAGCGTTCATTATTCCATTAATTTCACTAATTCACCGACTCCACAAGCACAGAAACATCCCCAAAACAAGAGTTTTCCTCTGCTATATTTAACGGTTGGTGTAAAATTGCGAGCACTTAATGGTGAATTAGGCTGTCTCCAAGTATATCTTATACCATCTGACCCAAACATACTAGTTTTACTTTCATCTGTCCAAACCCATTCATAAAAGTCATCAAAAGTCATGTGTGCATAAAGTTTAGCATAATTTAAACAAGCTTGGCGGTGACGAGAAACTAACAATGGCTTTTTGATCTTCCTTCTGGATCAAAAATCAATATTTTAGAGCTCTCTATTGACTGTCCACACTGAAGCATGAGTTCCATAGCTGTTATTCATTAAACTAGTAACATCCTTTGCAGTTTTAGACTCTCCAGAAGCAATTAAAGGAGCGATTGTTCTTTGGTCTCTTGCTGTAAAAAATTTTTTTTGACCACTTTTAGGTTTATTTACCTCTAAATTATTGTGCAATTTGATTTTATATATGAGATTATAAGACTTTCTGAACTCAGCAGCAATTTCACGATAATATTGTCCAGATTTAAGCTTTTCCACAATATTTTTTTCTAGTTCAAGATTTATTTTCCTCATGATGATAATAACAATACTTTTTTTATGTTTTGTAAACAAAATCAAACTTTAAATGATATTTAATCGTTAAAAATCTGTGAAAAGTTGATAACTCAATCATTTTAGTCATAAGGCTATTAATTTATGCGATATGCCTAATTAACTGTGGACAAACATGTTAATTGCTTTCATTCGCGACAAAATTGTCACCATTAGCTTTTCACATAAAAATTTAAAAAAAAATTCAATATCTTATCCTTTATTCAATATCAATTACTTATATTTAATTAATTAAACTAAAACTTCATTTTTCTTCACTGCTTTTCTAATAAAATATATATAAAATATTTTTTTGTTCAAACATGGCGACAATTTTGACACACACTGTATATATATATATATATACAGTGTGTATATACACACACACACACACATATATATATATATATATATATATATATATATATATATATATATATATATATATATATATATATATATATATATATATATATATATATATATATATATATATTTTCTTCTAATTTGTAATTATAGTTCAGCTATTAATTCAAAATTTTACTTGATTTTTCTCTTTTAAAAAAATTTAAGAACTTTGCTTTTTAAACTTTTCATATTTTAAAAATGCTTTAAAATAAAATGATACAAACCTTTTCAACAAAACTTTAAGTAAAACACTTACCTCACACCCATCAGACATCCACTTCTTTTCATCCTCATTCCAATAATTACATTCTGTACAAAACGATAACATTTCATAGTCAAATGATCCTAATGACTCTGCTTCATCATACGTATATGGATTCTCAACATGATTTTTAGCAGGCATTGGACCAGCATATGAAAATAAGAAATTCAATTCACTTTTATTAGTAAATGCATAGGTTGAGTACACAAAGTTCCATAATAATAGAGAACCATCATCAAGAAGACGAGCATCTTGATTTCTTTTAAAAGTTCCAGAAAAGCTTTCACTTTTCTCACTCATATTACTATTCACATTTTTAGGAGTGAGACTAATGTTGCTTGTTGCTGCAAAAGTATTTTTTGTTATGACAACACCATGTCTAGCAGAAATATTCAGCATTATATCATAATCAAGTTTTGATGCAATTTTTCCATATTGAATGTAAACAATAAGATTTGTTAAATTATTTGGATCATTTTTAAATACAATCTTTAGAAGCATGTTACAATGTGATGTTATTGGTAGACTTACTAGGTATACATCATCAGGCATTGATAAAGATATATTTCTCCCATTCATTTTTTCAGGAATATTTTTAATAGTTATGTTGATTGGTTTTAAGGTATTTTTCACTTTTATTAATAAACCATCAAGACCAGTAAAGGAAAGACTTTGAGTTTCAGAAAGAATGTATTGGGACCGATTTGTGTCCAATGTGTAAACAAGATCTTTCATTCTAACATTCTAAAAGACAATAGAGGGTAAATAAAATTTTAAAACAAAAATATATTACAAACAATTTTAAATTTGCATTGTCTTTTTTTATTAAATTGCATTAAATTTGAAATTTAAATTTACATTAGCTAAGATCAGTGGGTTTTTCACCGACACATTAAACATATCTTGAAAATCTGGAAGAGTAAAACCGCCATCATCAGTAGAACCAAATGATGTGTTGCTTAACTCAGTTGCAAACTCTTTTCTTAGCATAAATTTAAACCGATTTGTTTCGCCCAGAGTTGCATTTTCCCCTGGAACTTTATAAAACTGTGCTGCTAAGAGATGATTATCCAAAGATTTTAACAACTCTAATGCCATATTTCCCTATATCAACAGTATTTATTTATTTATTTTAATTATACAGGATATAAATTTTTTTAATTTATTATTGCTACTCTAATGCTAAATAGATAACTTAATGTATATATATTTATGTATGTATGTATGTATGTATGTATGTATGTATGTATGTATGTATGTATGTATGTATGTATGTATATATATATGTATGTATATATATATTTATATATATGTATATATATATATATATATACATATTTGTAATGTATATATATACATATTTATAATGTATATATACATATTTATAATGTATATATATGTATGTATGAATATATATATATATATATATATATATATATATATATATATATATACACAAATATATATATATACACAAATATATATATATACACAATATATATATATATATATATATATATATATATATATATATATATATACATATATATATATATATATATATATATATATATATATATATATATATATGTGTATATACATATATATATATATATATATATATATATATATATATATATATATATATATATATATATATATATATACATATATATATATATATATATATATATATATATATATATATATATATATATATATATATATATATATATATATATATATATATATATATATATATATATATATATATATACACACAATAGTGCTCAAAAGTTTAGCAGATAGCAGAATTAAATTTACTTTTTTTCATATATAATATTTTTTATGTTGGTAAACTTTACTTCTAATTATCAATTAACTAAACATAGTCTGATAAAATAAGACAAAAAATTTGTTTAGGGACATTTATTTTTTCAAGTACATACAATAACCGGTATTTTAAGCTTTAAAAAAGCTGCTCCTAAGTTTTAAATAAATTTATTTCAAACTTATGAGCAGCTTTTAAAAAAGCTGCTCAATAACTTTCAAATAAATATATAAAAGCTCTCCTTAAAGCTTCTTAGGAGAGCTTTTATAAATTTATTGCGGAAAAAGTCTCATCATAATAAATTAAACTTTCCTGAAATATTACGAAAATATATTTAAAGCAATATTTTAAAAGTTGGTTTTATATTAATTCATAATTTTTGCTTACTTCAAGAATAATAATAATAGAGGTCTGAAAATTTCTCATCGGAAAAAAACAATTAGTCAAGAAATCAAACAGCATGATATTGACCTTGATATGGTAGGTCACTAATATCGAAAACTCTCAAATTTTAAAGTGTGTTTCACCTTCATGTGAAAGTAAAACTATTGCTAAGTTTAATGAAACTGGTAGTACTGCTGGCAAAAAGCATTCTGAGCGACTAAGAAAGACAAGTATTGCTGATGATAATTTTATTTTTAGAATCGGCAGAACAAGTAAAATTAAAAACAAATTTTTAAAATCCAATGTTTTACATGTCATTAAAACACAAATTTTGCAAATTTTTCTGATATTACTATTTTATTTTATTAACATAACATTTTTTTGTTATTTGGCTGTGCAAAAAACAAAAAAAAGTTCAGGGTCTCGAAAAACAGACATTCTGCAAAATGGAGGTAGAGCAGTTGGTAAATGGGGCTGCATTACATATGATGACCAAAGTCTACACATGTTATACAACAGTCAAATGGTCTAACATAAATACATTGACAACCAAGGACTTTTTTTGCAACAAGCTAGAGTGGATGTTTCAACAAGACAACGCTCCATACTGTAAAGCAAAATCAGTAATAGAATGGTTTGAGCAAAATAATATCAAAGTACTACAGTGGCCAGCTAAATCACCTGGTCGGAATCCAATTGAAAATATTTGAACTTTGTTGGACCAAAAACTTACCAAAGCTAAAAATCTAAAAGAAAATTTAAGAATCATTTAATGGTTTCACAGCTAAATATTATCGTTCTATAAAAAGATGTTCATAATGCATAAAAAAAGAGGTGATCACATACTTTATTAAGCGGGAGGCTGAATAAGCGCGAATTGGCATATGTGCGAACTGGCATAAGTGCGAAGTGTTGCAAAAACTGGCATAAGTGCGAACTGGCATATGTGCAAATTGGCATATGTGAGCCAAAAGATTTTGCAAAAACTGGCACAACTGCAAACTGGCATAAGTGCGAATTGGCATAAGTGCGCCAAAATTTTTTGCAAATATTGGCATAAGTGCGAACTGGCATAAGTACACTGAATAAAATTGCAACTATTGGCATAAGTGCAAATAAGTATTTCGCACTTAAGCCAGTTTGCTCTTATGCCAATGTTTGCAAACTTATTCGGCGCACTTATGCCATATCGCACTTATGACAGTTAGCACTTACGCCAGTTTTCATAACTGCTTCACACTTATGCCAGTTCGCACTTATGCGGATTCGCACTTATGCTAATGTTTGCAAATTTGTTCGGTGCACTTTTGCCAATTCGCACTTATACCAGTTTGCACTAATGCCAGTTTTTGTAACTGCTTCGCACTTATGCCAGTTCGCACTTATGCCAATTTGCACTTATGCCAGTTCAAACTTACGCCATTCACACTTAAGCCAGCTTACACTCATGAAATTCGCGCTTATTCACTCGCCCCCTTATTAAGGTTCAGCCTAAAAATAACTTTAAACTATAAACTATATTTAAAGTCTTATAATTATTTAATCTATAGCATGCTAAACTTTTCTTTTTTTCTTATTTTATATATGATTGATTTCTTCCAAAAAATATCATATATTTTTTTCATTGTTTTGAAAAAATTTTGTTTTGAATCAACTAAAATTTTTTCCTTCTATTTTTTATGTTCTTAAGAAAAAAAGTAATTTTAATTTTGCCACATGCTTAACTTTTAATACCTATATTATATATATATATATATATATATATATATATATATATATATATATATATATATATATATATATATATATATATATATATATATATGTATGTATGTATGTATATATATATATATATATATATATATATATATATATATATATATATATATATATATATATATATATATATATATATATATATATATATATATATATATATGTATATATATATATGTATGTATGTATGTATATATATATATATATATATATATATATATATATATATATATATATATATATATATATATATATATATATATATATATATATATAACGGGTTATAACTAAAAAACGGTAATAACTTTGAAGGGGCATAACTATCTTAGTTCATTGGATGAAAACTGAATTTAAAAAATAAAATAATAGCATTTTAAGTGAGCAATTTATTTCCATACTAATTTTTTTCAATCAAACCATTGCGTCTTACGCAGTCTAATCAGTGCCAACTCAGAAAGGCGCTGTACAAGAGACTTCCATTTTAGAAAGGCAATACTTTATTCTATTGCACAGTTTTTTTGATTATCAAATTTCCAATTATTCTTATAAACTTTTTCTTTGAGAACACTCCAAAAATCCTCAATTGGATGACATTCAGGGACATTTGCACGATTATCTTCTCTTTTGACAAAATTGATGTTTTTCTCATTCATACAGTTTTGTACAGGTTTTGCATAATGAGATGATGCCAGATCAGGCCAAAATATGTATTTACCATTAGAATGATACTTTTTGATAAATGGAATTAGTTTATTCTTGATACAATCATTTTTGTAGACTTTTTGGTTAATTACAAAGCCACTTTCTCTGAATATTGGCAAATATATATACATATATATATATATATATATTTTAGCAATTCTACCATTTCCAGAGAGTTTCTGGTACTCAGAATTATTTTCAGCACATCGAATAATGGTGTATATGGTGTTAGTAGGAATTTTTCCAGATAAAAAGTGATCAACAGTATAATTTTTCCCTTTAGATCAATTTTTCAAATTAAAGCTGTACAAACGCTCTTGACGGGCTTCTTGTTTTTCTTTTATTTATTTTTATATATATATATATATATATATATATATATATATATATATATATATATATATATATATATATATATATATGTATATATATATGTATATATATATATATATATATATATATATATATATATATATATATATATATATATATATATATATATATATATATATATATATATATAAATCTACAAATAAAAAAAAAGGACAGGATGATTTTAAAAAAAGAGTCATAAAACTCAACTTTGTGTTACTTATTTTCAAAATTTATTTCTTAGTTATAAAATTAGAACTACTAATACACTATATCATTCATTAAAACAATTAAAAAATAATTAAACTGTTGAAATTCAACTAAACTGCAAAAGTGGTAAACTTAAATGAAAAATTATATGAATATTTTAGATGATTAATGTATTTACACTATATTAAAAAAAATTTAAAAAAAAAGGAAGGCCCTTAAATCAACAACAGGTTAAAAGGGATTTCTTTAAAACAATTTTTATGTTTCACATTATAGTTTTCCTCTTTTTAAAGTAATACATTTTTTTTAAAGTGTTACATTTTCATACTCTCATAAAAGTATTTTATGAGAGTATGAAAATGTAACACTTTAAAAAAAATTATATATTTATAGCTAACATTAAACTTGCTATTTCAGTTAATAACAACAAAACAAATACATATAGTTTAAGTTAAAATACATCACAAAAATGCAATTACAAACGTTTAATTTAAACCAAATTTATAACCTTAAAATTATCAATAGTGTCTTCATTGGTTTTGTCCATAAAACCTTATGTTTGTGTAAAGTAAATAATATTGATTATGAGTTGTTATTTCTTATCAATGTAGAAAATTTTGTAGAAAAAATCAGAGAAAAGATCTAGAAAGTGGAGTCTATGAAAGAAAGTGATAGCAGCAAAAAAAATCTCATAAAAAAGCAACATTTCTAAACATCCCGAAAATGTCGTGCCTTTACCCTGGATCCCTGGAATCAGTCCTTAGTTAAGAACAATCTTAAAAAAAACAGGATACATACCAGTGTTCAAATCTCAAATAAAATTTCAAAATCTTATTAGATCTAAAAACAATCATACACTACCAGCTAATTCATGTCTCTGTGTTTATAAATTAGAATGCTTTTGTGGGAAATATTATATTGGTGAAACAAGGCTAAAGATATTATTGCATGTTTGTCAACATCAAACAAGTACAAAACAAGATAAAAAAGAAAATTTAGCTTAAGCTAAAAATTTCCTAGGAAATTTTCACTGTAAAAAATTCAATACTTTAAAAATAAAAATGAATAGTTGTAACTGGAAAGTTAGGAAAGCATTGGAAATACAACATAATGAAAGTACCTTTTATGACATATGACATATAATATGACAATGTCATTTTAGAAATCTATGTTCTAATTTTTAAAAGCTCTAATTTTAAAAAACTCTAAAAAAATAACATTGTCTCATAAACTTAAATGGTTTTGTATACTATACAGGTTTTCTTTATATAACGGTTTTTAAATATAGTTTTTTTATTTTTTTAAATCTATATCACTCCCAACAAGGCAACAAGCAACACTATTAGGTTGGGACTAGATAACAACGAATAGAATTAAAAGCAAAGGAAGCTGTTGACCTAAGATTTGAAAGGTTTAAGGTTGTATGAGCCAGGAAAACATAAAGATGGGAAAAAGTTCTAAAGGATTAAAGTGTGGGGAAAAAACTAGATAAGAAAAAGGATACAACTTTGCTGAATTACAAGTCAAGCAAGAATATGTTTTGATTGATGAAATTAGAGATGATAGCTCCTTTGAGCAGAGACAATGATAGTATTTGTCAAAAAGAGAGCAACCTTATGACAACAGGAAACTTTTAAAACTCACAAAAAATAACAATAAAAATTAATAATTAAAAAGAAAATAACTTTTTGAAAAAGATATTGCTAATTGTACTAACTAATCTATGCTGAATTAGTATCGATGGAGGACAGGGATCTCTAAATATTTTCATAAACCTGTTTGATTATTAGCATCACATTTTAAATAAAGGAACAAGAAGTACACTGGGGTGAGTAAAATGATCATACTAAGCAAAGTTTGAAATGTAGAAAAAAATTATAACAATCTGAAAAACTTTTTCAACTTAATCAAATAAAGTTTACCTTTGACTGTGACCTCAAACTCATTAATATCGACCTTATGTTACCCACACTTGGATGTACCTTGTAGGTGCCTTATTTCATTATCTTGAATTAGGTTGCTAGGTTAGGAAAAAAGGTTTGTTGTGAATAGGAAAAATTTCTATCATGGTGAGGAAATAAGAGATATTGTTACTAAATAAAATTCAATGTGACTGTAAGAAGATTTTAAAGGATATATTTATGTTGAAAAAATATCTTCTTTGTAACTTTTTTTTTATGTTTAAAATAATGCTTGTGCATTTCATTGGTCTGAATTTTTTATTTGAAATTTATGTTTTGTGTCAATCAGTAAAGCATTTTTCCGCATTTCATGTGGATTTTTGTCAAAAGGAAAATTGTAAGTATTATTACGCTAATGTTTCAAATTTCATCAAAATATATTTTGACACTTAAAAGCGTATCTTTAAAGTTTTAAACTCTCACATTTTTTAAAACCCCTCTTTTTTTAATTGTTTTAACGGGTGGTTACTAAAAATCCGGACAAACTTTAACTGAATTTTAAATGCCACAAGCTAAATCTTTTTTATTCATGTTTATATCTATTTTATAGCTTATTTAATTCTCTATAAGTTAATTTTTTTTTTTTAGATAATTAATAATAATTAAAAAAATAATGATGAACAAGCAAGAAGAGGTAAGAAAACGGATTTACAAGTTCTATTTGAATAATAAATTGCAAGGTAAAAAGTTCACATTAGCTCACTTCAATGCTGAAAAAATCCCAAGAAGCACTATCTATGATATAATCAAACGTGTTGAAAATGATTCTGGGCACAAAAGAGTGCAAGGAAGTGGTCGTGTGGCCAAAATCATGACCCCTACGAGGATCAAGCGCCTGAAAGCCGTATTTGATCACAGTGACTGAGTTTCGATGAGGCAAGCTGGTCGAAAATTTGGATGCAGTCATTCACATATCATTAAAACTCTTGCCAAGTACACTGACATCAAAAGTTATACAAAACAGGGTATACCTCATCGAAAAGAGAACCAGAATGAGCGAATCAAAACTGGCATTGATCGTCTTTATCGCGTTTTTAAAGGAAAATTGGTCATCCTTGACGGTGAGTCTTACTTCATGCTGTCACACTCAACAATTAATGGAAACAGCACCTACTACTCTAGCAACAGAGACAAGACTCCAACAAGTGTTAAATATCGCAAAAAGCGCAAGTTCGAACCCAAGGTGCTTGTCTGGCTGGCCGCTTCTGACAAAGGTGTTTCAAAACCATTTTTTATACCCAGCGGCCTTGCAGTCAATAAAGCCATCTATGAAATGAATTGTATTAGGAAAAGATTAGTGCCGTTCATCAACGCTTATCATGCCGATGGTAATTACATATTTTGGCCGGACCTGGCTTCATCGCATTATGCCAAAACAGCTGCTATGAGACTCATAACATCAATTTTATCAAAAAAGTTGACAATCCGCCAGCCGTACCAGAGTGTCGCCCAATCGAAGACTTTTGGGCTATTTTGAAAGGCAAAGTATATGAGAGTAACTGGCAAGCAAAAGACGTGAAACAACTACGAACCAGGATAAAGCTTTGCCTGAAAAAAATTGACCTTAACCTTGTATTTTCACTTTTTGGGTCAACTCGTGTTAGAGTTGGCCGAATCCGAAGAAACAGACTGGTTGAAGACAAACTTAATTAAAATAAATAAATAACTAAAAACTCTTTTTAATGATAGTTTTATTTAATCTCTACCATAAAAACTTTGGGAGTAATTGCACTTGAAAGTTTGTCCGGATTTTTAGTAACCACCCGTTAGAAAAAAAACTAACTTCAACTTAAAACCTCAAAAAAAGTGCTTCAAATTCTTGCATTGAACATGACGTAATAAAAGAATAACTTGCTATTGTCACTGCAAACTAACTTTAATTGAATTATTCATCATCAAATTGTTTTGAGAACTTTGTTTCTCAATAAAAAAAAATTCTTTAAATAAAAAATGGTAAAATAAAAAATAGATACAATTATAAAAAGGAAAGTAGAATACAGTTTAATTTGTTTTCACACAAGTATTATATTTTAAATTTGTATTAATAAAAGTATATTTTATTAATTTTTGGATAATTCTAGAATACTTAAACAATAATCTTATTAATAACAATAATTTAAATAGTAATTTAATAATAATATTAATAGTACTGAAAATAATAGCAATAATAATAAAAATATTACTTCAACATGATTTGATATTTCTGTTTGGTGAGTAGGATGACCTGAAATTTAGTATTTTAAAATTTAATCTTATCTAAAAAATCTAAAAAAAAAATCAAAAAAAAATTTAAAAAAAAACCATGCTAAAAAGAAAATAAAGTAACAAAGAAAAAAACAATGTTAACAAAAAAAAAAAAGTCATATCTTAATACCAAAATTGAGAAATTCCACATTAAAATCACCTAAAATTTCAACAATATTAAACTCTAGCTTAGTATTAAATTTGATTTATAGACTCTTTAAAAATTATTATTATATTTTAGAAAGTCCTACACAATTAGGTGTAACAAAATATTAATTTAATTACTGAAACACCCAAAAAACTTTTTATATTACAACTTTTATATAAAGACCAAGTTGTTGTTTATTCAAATTTTTTTGTGTATTGTTTTTTTTAAATTTTAAGTATTATATAGCTATAAACTTATATAAATGCAAAATCAAATTTTGATTTATGTAAGTTTATAAAAATTTCACTTAAAGGACAGCATTTGTTTGTTCAATTTTATTTGAATAAAAATAACAATATCTACAAGTGCAAAATATTTCACTAAAGAATGAATCTTAAAAAGTAAGAATTATTTTCAACACTAAAAAACATTTTTCTACTAAAAATTAAGTTGGATTGTTATTCATACTTGTTTGTTTGAAGGAATACTTTCATTTTACTAGTCATACCAAATAATTTATCTTATTTAGATGTGTTCAACTGATTTAATGACATCAGAAACATGATGTTTACAAGATGTTAACTTTAAAGAACTAAGACAAAACATTACACCATTGCATAGTAACATCGACTTATCAAACAACATTATTGTTAAGCTTTTGTCAAATTCGTTCTACAAAACATTTCGAAATGTGACAAAATTGTTTGCTATGATCCATTTAATTCACACACAAAGAAAACCACTAGTAAATAGCTGTAAAAATTGAATATTTTATTATTACATATTAATTTTAATTTTTTTTTAAAACATAACAAAATAAAGTCCTATGTACAGATGCAAAGACAAAGAAAAGCTTTTTAATTTACAAATTATTTAAATTTTCATTCATTTTTTGACTTTCACTTTAACTTTGTTATTTTTAGAAAATCTAGTTACAATATCATTATAAGTAGTTTGAATAATGCTCCTGGGAAGAATTTCTGCAACTCTTGCAAACAAAAGATTGCAAAAGAAGAAAGGATCTTACAGGAACAAAGGTAAATTGATAAGACAGGAGATCAACTTCAAGATTCTAATACATCTCCTTTAAAATCTCATTCAAAATCTTCAAACCTTCAAAAGTAAGTGAAAAGCTCAGAAGGAAAGTAAAAAATTCCAATTAAATGGTAAAAATAATTAAAAGTTAAAGTTAAAAGAATATTTAAAAGGAAGAAAAATAGCAAAAAAGACTTTTGTGAAATTTAAAGTAACTGCGTGATTAAAAGAAAACAATCTAAAACTTCAAATAAGCTACTCAAAATTTGCTTCATTTAGACAACGATGTGTTTTGTCAAGTGCAAGTTTATAAATACTGTTAGCTTTCCTTATCACAAAAATGCAAAAATGGAAAACAGAGAATGCATGCTTGCGCAGCGTGATGGTTATCATGGCAATGAACCACTCACCACATGTTTGTATGAGATTTGGAGAATATGATAAACTACAAGCAATTGCAAAATATAAATTGTGCAACACCTTTAAATTTGACAGCAGATGCTCTAATTTCCATAAAACTTTTATTATCTTGCTTTGAAAAGCTGAAGGCTTATTCTTTTATTTCTAACTCTCAACCAAAGTACCTTGGTCAACAAAAACAAAATTTGAAGCAATCAAGCATTATCATTATTGGTGACTTTACAAAAAATTAAAAGTTCATCTTTGACTTTACAATTTCCAATAATACAAAGCTATTACTGAACAGTACAATTTTCAATAATACAGAGCTATTACTGAAACACTTAACAATGTAATTTACATCCATAATAAAGTGGCGTGCAAAAGTTTATAAAACGCAAAAAAAATTTTGGTCCTAACTTTTTGCTTTTTGACTGAAAATAAACTAAATTTTTACAACTGTTCCTCTAATGTGACTACATAGTATAATTAAATCAAAAAAATGATAACTTCTAATGGAAGAAAGAAATTAAAAAAATTTATTTAAAACATAATGCAAAAATTTATAAACAAATAAAAAAATTTAAAAATATTTATAATATTTAGAATAAACTCAATGCACATTAGTATTTTGTTGGATAGGCTCTACATTTTAATACTTCTTGAAAACAAGACTTAACTTTATTACAATAACATCTACGGTGATATTTTCTAAACAATCTGAAACCATCTTATGGTTTAATTTGAATTATGGTTTAAAAATGAATTATTCCATCTTATGAATTAATTCATTTTTATTGGTTTGCTTTTTGCCATTCAATTGCCAGTTGAAATGTTCCAAAATATGTTCCATTGAATTAAAAATTGGGCTTTGTGAAGCCCAGTCAAAAACCTAATTTCTTTTCTAAATTAAAAAAATTTATGATAGAATTTGCACAGTGCATTTTGAAAATTCAGCCACGTGGCAACATAACATTCTTGATTATCTCTAAATACATATTCTTATCCATTGCGCCTTTGATGTAATGAAGTGAACCAATAGAATCACAACTGAAAGATCCCCAAACCATTGCATTGCCACCATCTTATTTAACTGTTGGCGTTTAATACTTAAAAGCAAATCTGTCACCTTTTGGACATCTCACATACTTGATTTCATTGGTACCATAGATGCAAAACTTTGATTCATCACTAAACCAGAGTTTTGACCATTCTTTTGAAGGGGAAGTCCAATGCAAACAATCTCTTTCTAATTTCATTTAACACCATAATTAACACCATAATTCTTACTCAAAATGCTATTTAATCTTGTTTTGATTGCCTTAACAAAATTCTATTGAAATGTTCGGTGGTTAGCTTTGGTCTGCCCGAATGTTGCTTGTTTTTAAGAGTCTCATGGTCTCTATATTCTAATTGTTGATTTAGCCACAACATAAAGCTCAGAACTTGCTTAAAATGTATCTTCTTCTGAACAGCACCTATTAAATTTTTCTTTTCTCGTGACAATTCCTTTGACTTTTGCATTATTTTGTAAATTCAATTTAAGTTAAAAATAATCTTCAGTAAATATTTCAATATAATTTTAAATATAACTTATAAATAAAATTTTAGTATATTTTTAGTTTTTTTTGATGAAATTTGATTTTATGCTGTTCATAAACTTTTGCACAATTATATTTTCAATATATATATATGTCTTTTTTTTGAATTTTTAATGTGTATATTGCATAAAAAACTAGAGTAACAATTGCTAAAATTGTCATTCATTTCCAGTAAAAATGTTATGAAAATCAAAATAAAAAAAATTTATCTGTTTATAATATTTTGCACACTACTGTATATTAAAAGTTGAGATGTGTATTTCTCTTTATATATGAAGACACTACATACAATCTAACATTTGTGTATGAAATATTTTAACTAATCATACCCACAATAAAATCAAAAAACATTTATTTACTGATGGTTGTGAAGGACGATACACAACTTCTATAAGCTTTTACATTCTTTGCCAACTAAAACAAAATCAGCTGGAACTTTTGAAAATCCAAAGCGTTTATTTCATTTATATAAAAGGATTGGAAAGTGATTTGTGGATTGGGATTATAACTGAATCAAACTTGAAAAATGTGAGGCTGAAGTTAATTTCTTGCAACCAAAATCTTCATACTGCATATTTTAAGAGTGGACTGCTGTTTTTATTGTCAAAACAAGCATATTGAAAAAGTTATCTGTTCCAAAAGCTTATTATAGTTCTGGTGGAAACTATACGTTTAAACAAAGTTGAAATGGAAAAGAGGTACAAGCAAAATGGTAGCAATATTCTAAACTAGTAGAACTGTAGTAAAACAATTTTTATTTTCAATACAGTGAAAAATGTACATTAACTAAAATCCTGTATATTTCTTGGTAATTTTTGGTATTAAAATTAATCTATTTTTACTGAATTAAAAAAATTTAGCCATTTCTTGAAAAAAATGGTATCTTTTAAAATTATGGCTCTATATTATTCTGCTTTTTCCAGTAAATGTTTTGTGACATATTATTTAAGAAAATTTTTTTACATGGAGTTATTTTAAGATTTTTTATTACAAAACTGAGTTATAAAAACTAATTATTATGTTAGTTTCTTAATTCTATTATATTTTTGTATGCAGCCTTCTTAATGAACATACTGAGTTAAAGCATTTTTATGGTCCGGTCACTAAGTGCATTTCCTGAACTCTGCATCCAAAAAGTTCATTTCTCACCAGGTCAAAATTAAATTTCCATCATCTCAGAAACTTAATATTTTTGACTGAAAATTTGTTTTTTATTGGAGTTAAATGGTGATTTTATGTGAAATTACTCAAATTAAATATTGAAAACAAAATTCATAGTAAATAAGTAGTACCTAATTCATTTGTTAAACTTTGTTTTAAATTTGTTTGAAGTAAATTGGAAATTGATTTGAGAAATGGTTGAGTTATTATGTCAAATTTGTCTGCTCCGATGCTTTTAAGATTATCTGGAGTGAGGAGTTTTGCCATTCTTGTAACAATGTTTGAAGCTTGTTGCTAAAAATAATTAGAAATCTTTTAATTGCATTTAACATGATAAAAAATTTAACAAAATAATTTAAACATTTTTTTTATTAATTTTTTTCCTTTTTCTGTTATACTTAAATAAAATTTTATTAGTATAAAATTAACTTTATAAAATCAAAGCGAGTCTAGTCATGTAATTTGTACTCAAGTTTTTATTGTATTAATACTACTATTTTGTACCAATACTATCACTTTGTACCAATACTAACATTTTGTACAAATATTAACAAATTTTTGTGAAATAAAACTTTCAAAGAAAAAAGTATAAAAAATTAAAGACAATGAATCAGAAATAATTCGGAAAAAAAAAAAGTAAAAATAATAATTTGATCTTGTCCATTAATTCAAAAAAATTTGGGCTCTAAACGAAAACCATATTTTTGTTGTAAACAAATGTCTAGTAGTTGTTGTACAATCCAGACTCAGATTTGAATACAAATGAAAACCAAAATGATGAGCTGCTAAGCATAGTTGAATGTTGGTAGGGTAAAATTTATGATCAAGCATTAGCATGTTTAAATGTTATAAAAAAGTTTGGAATTGAAAGTTTTATAATTTGAGTTTGTGCTGAAACAACAGCATGTAACACTGGTTGTAATAAGGGTTGCATCAGTATTTTTGATGAACTTTTAGATCAACATTTGTTAAGACTTCTTTAAACAACACATACATACTACATGCAAATAATGCAATCACCAAAACAGAAAGCAAAATCAAAATCTATTAATGAAAGAGTTAAAGATTTGCCAATTCATTATTAAAATGTTAACAAAAATGTAACGCATCATATATATGGCTATTAAAGTTTTCGATGTGTGATGTTAGTGGCACTTTTTTAGAAGATATAACTAAAAATGTTTTTTACAATAGGCCTTAGGAACTTCATGTTCCCCAGAAATGACTACAAACATCTGTGTTGGTATGACATTTTTTTTCTTAAAAGAAGTGAGGCAGTTCCTGAATTTATCATATAAAAAATAGCTGCTGAACAAAAAGCTAGATTTACGGTAGACACTTTATACATTTTGATAAATAAAGCTATCACAACCAATCATGAAGTTTTAAAGCTTAGAGAAAGAAAAGGTATTTTTAAAGGCAGCAATATATATTACTTCAGTTCATGCAAAAAAAATTCTTTAATCAAGTTAAATTGTTTTTGCTGCTTATAATAATTTTTTTATGGCTAAAAAGATAATAAAGATGAAAGATTTTGATTTTGTTGTTACTCAAGCTTTTATTTCAATCTTAGACGCAATTATTATCTTTCAGAATAAACAGTTGTCTTTTGGTTATTTAATAAATACAGTTACATGATTCAAATCATGTAACTATACAAGATATGAATAAATACAGTTACATGGTTGATATCATGTAACCATATTTACAATATTTTAGTACATGGGTTCTTTTGTATACAAATTTCCCATATAAATGTTTGAATCTTTTAATATAAAATATTATCTACACACATGTCTACATATTGTATTTAAAGTTTAATAACTGTTTTATGTGGAAAGATATAAAACATGAGTGATACTTTGATGTTTGATTCTTAAAAGTTTATGTACAAAAACTATAGAATGTACAACATTTTAAAAAAATTTGTTGCTTTCATAAAAATTTTTGTTAGATTTTTTGTGCAGAAAGAATATTTTTAAGATAAAATTTAACAATTTTTTTTTTTTTTTTGGTTTTATTTTCAACCGTTTTTTCATCTTTTACTAAAAAAACCTTTTTCTAAAACCTAAAAAAAGTTGATATTATTTCAATTTATGAAAAAAATGATACCTGAGATTGTGGAATCAATTCCATGGGATTTTGTGAAGATATAGCCAATGCATCCCCAATGGTTTTAAAAGAACTCAAATCATTGATAGTGGTATTGCCAAGTAAATTAATTACATTTGTGCGTAACTGAATATTAAAATAAAACAAAAAAAAAAGCTGACTCAGATACTGTTAAATAAAAAAATAAAAAGGGTAGATACAACCACAGTAATTTTATTCAAAAACTCCATATTTGATTGTATTATATTATCTTTTTAAATTTTTGAGTTTAAATTTAAAACAATTATTGCGGTTTTATTGCTAAAATCAAAACTCCAATCGTAACCTTAATAAAGCAATAAAAATAAGCAATAATAACCTATTGAGAAAATATAGTTAGAAAAAAACTTAAACAACTAATATTCTTACTAGTTACATAAAAAATTTGAGTATATGTATAACTTACTAGTTATGTATATATATGTAAATATTTGTTTAACTTACTAGTTACGTATATATGTAAGTATATGTATAACATACAAGTTACATATATATGTCAGTATATGTATAACTTACTAGTTACATATATATGTATGCATATGTATAATTTACTAGTTACATATAAATGTAAGTATATGTATAACTTACTAGTTACATATATATGTAAGTATATGTATAACTTACTAGTTACATATATATGTAAGTGTATGTATAACTAACTAGTTACATATATATTAGTAAGTATATGTATGACTTACTAGTTACATATAATTATACTATGTAATTATGTATGTAACTTACTAGTTACATACATAATTATATATGTTACACAGTTATAATAATTATATATGTAATTTGTATATTACATATATAACTGTGTATGTAACAATTAATATACTGCAAATATAATTATTATAACTGCTTAAAACTTATATACTGTATTTACTACTTTAATAAAAAACCAATAATTAATTAAAAAGTATAGCCTTTATAACTTTTTTTATTAAAACTTATTCTTATCACTTATAAAATTAAACATACATTTTGCAAATTAGATAATTCTTGCTGCTTTTTTAAAAGTACAGCATCGTTATCAACCATACCAGAAAATTCATTTGAAGGAGATAGCGTGTTGTTATAAAAACTTGCTGCATTTTTATTTACAGTAGAACTTATGGCTTGAACTATATTAGCAACACTTTGTGTATCATTCATATTGATACCATTAACCAAGTCTGTCACATTTACAAGTTTATTATTAGGACGTACCTATAAATGAGGAGAAAAAAATAACTTTTTGTCTAAATAAGTCATTTTATACAAAATATTAGGAATGACTGTGTCAGCTTTGAACAGGAGCAGCTTTTAAATTTCTTTTTCAATTGGATGGCTGGAAATCCAAATGACATCTTAGGACATTTTGTGTTTGCTGGGGTTTTACATTACAAAATAAAAAAATATTAAAAAGATTTATTTTCAAAGACTAATCTAGGGTTCACAACTAAGTATATTGTTTCAATATACTAAGTTGTGAACCCTATACATTTAATAGATGAGGAAAGAATGCTAAAAGATTACCTTGATAAATTATGGTTGGACATATAAACAAGCTAGGAAAATTAACATTTAGTTATGCTATGAAACTTAGCAAATGTCCAGTTAAATAGATAGAAAGTAAAAAAGCAGATATAGAGTGGTTAGAGAGTTTCATGAAATGTCACAGAGAAAAATACAAGCTCCTTATCCTCAAGGTTTATTCATCAGAGTGTAAATCAATTTTTTTATATGAAAAAATTTTCAACAAATATAATTTCATTACTAATAGAATTTATAATATCAATGAAACTAACACAATGACAGTACTAAAATCAACCAATGTTGTAGTAACACACATAAAAAAAATATAGGACAGTGAATATTTGCTGAACTAGGACAGCTAAGTGAGGTTAAGTACTATGTGTGGTAAAGCAAATCCCATAAGAAATTTTATTTTGCCTTTTTTTAACAAAAAATTACTGGGTGCAAAAGTTAGTTTACTTTTATTTTTTTGTATTTTTTAATCTATGGATGCTTTAATAGTTTTACATAAGTCTTTAATATATTTTACATAAGTATATTTTACATAAGTATATTTTACATAAGCCTTAAGTCTCAAGTCATAAATCATAAGAACCACAGCTGTTAATGTTTTGAAAATTTGAACATTTCAAAATTGCGCTAAAAAATTTATCTAGACTTAACAAAAGAAAACCTTTATTTATAAAAAGAACAGAAATTTTAATGAAAGAGAAAATAAAAAGTACTTCACTAAAATTAAAACACAAAATATAACAATATAACTCAACTAAAAAAAGGCCTCAAAAAACCAAAATACTACTTTTGAGCATAAATATCAACCCTTGGAATTAGGGTCGGCATTCGGCAATGCCGACTTAACTGCTGATCTGAAAGTGTTTGTGGTCGGCAAAAAATTGCCGACCTTGTTTCTATGTTTTATGGTCAGACCTTTGTATCAAATAATTTTTGATGACCTAAAAAAGATTGAGGTTGGCAAATTATTGCCGTCCTCATTTTTTCCTAATTTCGAGGGTTGAAATATTGATTCATTTTCAGCTTAACATCCATACCAACATTGCAATTTTATTTCTTAGTCATTCTTTTGACCTTTTTTTTTAAAAAAAATATTAATCTATAGAAAGAAGTTTAAGAAATTTTCCAAGCTGCCCCTTTCTTTCCTATTGTTGTTATTGTAAAAGCTTTTACAATACCAGAAATAATAGCACTTAAGTAACAGTAAGCAACACTTAAGTTAAGGAAATGCTTTAAATATTTCAAAATAAAAAAAAAATTTGAAACTGCTTACATTGATAAATAGCTTGTTGTATTCTGTATATGCTTGGTATTTACCACTCACTTTTATGAGAATCTTGATTTTGTAATCATTGTTTGGATCACCAGGACCCATCATAAAGTTAATTAAACTTGGTTGATCAGTAGATGCTGCATTTAATATAGGATAATCAAGAGTAGGCGTACTACTAACATTTATACGTTGTATCTTACCATCATCATAACAAAAAGTGTAGCTTAGAAACTGATCTGAATCAGTCCAATCACTACAAACAATTTTAAACTTTGTTTCAAGAACATATCCTTCAGTTGGACTAAATAAAAGAAAGTGAATTATTCAACAATAACAGCAATGCACATTTGCAAATAATAAAAAAATTTGTTTTATCATGTGAGGCCAATTACTGGCCTTATTAAACTTTAAAAAAATATTAAACAATATGAAAATGGAGTCAGGAAAAAAACAACAAATATTTTAAATATTGTATTAAAATTAATTCAAAAAATAATGACTTATTCTATAATAGAAGTTTTTATTTTTTTTTATTTTTTTTTTGTTAATTCACCTCCTCAAGGCTGAGAAGGCCACTACAGAGGAGGAGACTACTTATTTGTGGTTATATAACCCTCTCTCAACTCTATAACTCTGAAACAAGAACCTTGACAAACAAGGCCGCTGCGCGGAGAAATGAGTTGAGCGGGGTACTATCAGGGAGGTGGTGGGGATTGAACTCGGAACCTCTCGCTTATGAAGCGAGCGCACTACCACTACACCACTACCGCAAGTATATACAGAAGTTTTTTTATATATATATAATTATATATATACATACATACATATTTGTGTGTGTGTCTTTTATATAGTTTGAGCTGCCTTAGTTACTGTTTTAGCTCACCTCTAATCTACTTTATATGTATAATTGTGTTCTGTCTAAACCTAAAATCCCATATCCCCACCATGTCCCTGGTAGTACCGCGCTCAACTCGTTTCTCCGCGCAGCGGCCTTGTTTGTCAAAGTTTGTGTTTCGGAGTTATAGAGTTAAGAGAAGGTTATACATATAACCACAAATAAGTAGCCTCCTCGTCTGTAGTGACCTTCTCGGCCTTGAGGAGGTGAATTAACAAAAAAAAAACCTGTGGCGCGGTGTCAACTCACCCGTAAGTTGCTATCTGTATGTATGTGTTCTGTCTGAACCTCTGGTGCCATGTTGACTCACCCATAAGTTGCTATCTGTATGTTAGTGTCTGTTTATGTTTATATGTATGTTTGTGTTCTGTCTTAATCACTGGTGCAGTGTTTACTCACTCGTGAGTTACTTTATGTATGTATGTGTTCTGTTTAAATGTTTATATCTGTTTTGATGCAGTGTGAGCACACTCCAACTATTAAACTTTCACTCACCCTTATCTCTATTATTTTGTTATGTGTAATATTTTTCTAATGCATTTCCAAAATACCATGCCTGATGCATAAAGGCACTGTTTGCAAGAAGTAGCTCCTTTTAATTAATCCAGGTCAGGTCAGGTTCAGGATCATCATGATCACACTGCAACTGATATTACATAACCCAGTACCACCTGCACCATGTCCTGCTGCCTTGTACAGTGTGCTTTTTCAGGCAAAGGCTAGGAGAAACAAACTCTGACTTTTAAATCCCCTGCCTTGGGGCTCTTTGTTGAGTAAAGGCTAGAGATGGTGTCTTGATAAAAATACTCATCTTGGGCAGATAAAAGCTGCATTTACCTTAAATTCACCTGCCTTGGGGCTCTTGATTAAGTAAAGGCTAAAGATGGTGTCTCGATAAAAATACTCATCTTGGGCAGATGTTAACTGCATCCAGCTACTGTATTGTAGGAGGCCTCCTAGGCAAAGACTTTAGGGGTAAGCAGAATAATTCTGTTGACCAGCCTCGAACCCTTTCTTGATCTATTAGGCTGGCATATATGTAAACTTGTATGGCGTTGTTTCCTGCCTTGGATGATGAATGCTGGATCTTCTTGACTTTTCTCATAGATTTTTGCTTGTGCCTCAATAATTGTGGCTGTGCAACTCTTTCTGTTATCTCCTAATGAGGGCACAGCTCTAAAACTCAGTTTAATGGTTCTGAGGCCGGCTGGTGGTAAGGTTTCTTAAACTCTGTGATAGCTCTCAGAGAAACTGATTTCATCAACAGCTACAAAATATCATAGTATAAACAGTGCATGGATGGTATCCCTGTTAAAGCTTTTGGTGTGTATTGTTGAGGCCACATAAGGAGCCCTATGTTATTACTTAACAGGAGGTTTAATGAACAGGATAAAATTGCATAGCTCATTGTTTGGGAGACTATGCTCTATCTATAAATGAGTCAAGTTCTCTTTAAACTTAATTATGCCAAAAGTAAATCAAATATTAAACATAAAAAACCACCCTTATCACTTAACTGTTTTAATATATCTTTTACTAATATTCATGGCCTGTGAAGCAATCTTCCATCAGTTGAATCTTATGTCTAGCAAAAATCACCAAACTTGCATGCTCTTAGCAACGTTCCTAGCTTGTCTGATCCTAGCTTGTGTTCAGTTTCTCCTTTTTCTCCTTTAGATGGTTCTGACCATGCAATGATCTCTTTAAATCTTTCATCTCATACTTCATTTTTGGAATCACCCAATCATCGCACTACTAATTACTACTCTAAAGCTGCTTGGGACTCTTTTTGTGATTTTCTTCGTGACGGCCCTTGGGCTGATGTCTTTTGCCTCTCAGCTGAAAAAAGCACCTCGTACATAAACTCTTTTGAGAACATACAGCTATTTATTATTGCAAGAAATTGATGTAAAAAGGTGCTGTCATATGCTAAGCTCTATTATTCCCAGTTCACTAAATCTCGTATCTTATCTCAGAAATTAGACTCTGGAGACTTTTAGAAAATCTTTGACAGCGTTATTAACAAAGGAAGGTCTAACATTCCATCACTCATTCATCGGACTGATCTTATTACCTCTCCCAAAGATGAGGCAGAACTATTTGCAAAGAACTTCTCTTCTAATTCAACACTTGAACTTTATGGCCATTCTTTTCCTTCCATTCCTATTAAAAAGGTTAACCCATTGTTAGACATTCAAATCACTCCAGCTTATATTGCTAAAGTCATACCTTGATTAAACTCTTCTATGGCTTGTGGTCCTGACAACATTCCAATCGCAAAATTGTTCTCCAGAACTCACTTCAATTTTTTCTAAACTATTTAACAAGTGCTTGATTGAATCATTTTTTCCTGTCTGCTGGAAAATGGCATCTGTTGCTCCAGTTTTCAAAAACCTCTCGTGAACATCCTGACTCCTCCAATTTTTGTTCAATCTGTCGTCTTTCTGTTATTAACAAGGACTTTGAGTCTTTGATAAACAAATTTCTCACATCTCATCTTAATTCAAAAAACTTGCTGTCAGACAATCAACACGGTTTTCGATCCTCTCGGTCTATGGCTGACTTGCTAACTGCTGTGATTGAAAAATTTTATAGTGCACTAGATGAAGGCAGAGAGGCTAGGGCAATTTCTCTTGAAATATTTAAAACTTTCAACAAATTTTGACATGCTGTTCTTCTCCATAAGCTTGTTTCATCTGGGAAAGTTTTTAAGATTATCAAATCATTTCTTTCTAACCACTTTATTAAAGTCATCCTTAAAGGCTCTTCTTTATATCCAGTAACTTCTGGGGTACCTCAAGGTTCTGTCCTTGGCCCTTTTTTTTTCTTATCTACATTAATGATCTTTTCCACAACCTTACACCTGAAGTAGCTCTTTTTGCAAATGACTCAACTTTATACTCCTCTCTTGACAAAAAGTTTTCTCTTTTCAATTGCTTAGAACAGGCAGCCAATCTTGAACCTGATCTCACTTCTGTAACTGATTGGGGCTCACAGTGGCTTGATAATTTTAACTCCAACAAAAATCAATTATTTACTGCAATAAACTATTGTAGTACTGTCGATATTCCTATATTGATGAATGGCAACCCTCTCACTGAGTCCTCTTTTTTACTTCTTTTTGGATTATCAATTACTACTTTTATGGAAACCATATATACAATTGATTGCTAGCATCTGCTAAGGTTGCTTCTCTTTATAATACTCATTACTTTCTCTATCCTGATTCAATTTTCTACCTCTACAAATTTCTTATTTGTCCCTGTATGGAACACTGTTGTCATATTTGAGCTGGTTCTTCTAATGATGCTCTTTCTCTTCTAGACAAGGTCCAAATTGCCATGTAAACATAGTTGGACCTGGTTTATCTGCTAAGCTTGAGTCTCTTTCTCACTATCGTAAAGTTGCATCTCTTTCTCGTTTCTGCAATACTATCATGGCCACTGCTCAAAGGAGCTTTCATCTCTAGTTCTATTGACCAAAACTCATTCTCACTAGTCATCCACCAAAGTCTAATTCTTTTTACTGTATCTATCCCTGCATGCTCTAAAAACTTTTATTCATCTAGCTTTTTTCCCCGCACTACAACCCTTTGGAACTCTCTCCCATCCTCATGTTTTCCTGACTCATACAAACTTTAACTTTTTAAGTCTTCTGTCAACCGTTTCCTTGCTTTATTATTTTTTTCTAGTAACACTCAACTTAATAGTGGTTGCTTGCAGCATTGTTGAGAGTGGATAAGAATAAAAGAAAAAAAACTCTAAAATCATGCACAAAAACTGTAACTTAAACTTAAGGAAAACCTTGCACACCTCTCCACGATGTTTAAATCAAGTACATGACTAAACAAGCTTTCATTATCAATATATATATACATAAACACATACATGTACACACATGCATAAATACATACATTTATGTACATACATAAATGCATAGATGTATATACATACATAAATACATACATATATTTACAAATAAATGTATGTATTTATGTATGTATATACAAAAAATAACTAAAATCAACTAGATTAAGGTTGAAAACTGAAAAGTTTTCAAAATTTGATTAAATCAGAAATTTCAGTTAAACTGTAAATTAAATATTCAAATAATTACTCTTTAATATATACTATATATTATATAGTGTAACATTATGATTAATTGATAGTTTCATTATATAAATATATTTTGTAATATTATATCATATAATGAAGGTTTTATTATATAGTATAACTATATTTTCTAAACTATGTTACATTATACTGGTTATATTATCTATAACTAATGAAAACATTTTATAATTATGCAATATAATTTATATTATATAACTTTTTTATATAAAATAACTATATCATATAGTGCAGTTTTATTACAAATTTTATATTATATAATATAGATATAAAAATAATTTTATTAAGTAAACAATATTAAAATGAACTCATTATGCAATATATTTGTGTATTTCATGATATATTATATACTATATAACTAGAACATAAATATTTAATATAAGTTTTAACTATATGTAATACATAAGTATGCTTCTAAACCAAGAAATAAAAAAAAAACCATAATCAAGTCTGAAATAAAATGCTTAATTTTGTTGTAACACACTGGTGTTCGTCACAAAGCCTGCAGTTTATGCCATCAAAAAGAAAACAAAACACTATTAGTAAAAGCTCTATCTATAATTTGGTAAAAAGCATTCTATCTATAATTTGGTAAAAAGCATTGTTTTTACCAAATTATAAAAATGATATTCTTAACTACAAAATTATTCAAGGAGTAGTTCTAGAAGGAAGGTTGTCTGTGTACTATCTGCAAAGTGAAAAACTTATAGTTGTACAAAAGATTTTTGTTCAGCAAACCTTTTGCAGATAATTGCAAAACCCTGATTAAAGAAGCAGGAGAAAAAATAGCTGAAGATCTAATTTATGCAAAGTTGTAAGAATAAGTAAATTATGAAACATAGTTCCAATATATTACAGTATCGTTCAAAAATGTTACTAACTAAACATAAAGTGTATCCCTTAAGACAAAAGGACGCTCTTTAACTGCATCATACAGATTTATGAAGCCTACTGCAGAAGAATTCACAAGGATATAATAACCATCAAGATTGATAGAAGCAATTTGGACTAAGCATGAACAAAAACTGATAGCTCCTGGATTTAAAGAGCTCATGATATTCAGTAATGTTAATTTAATGGAATACTTAAATGGAAAACCAGTCTAAGAGATTGATGAGATTAAAAAACGAGCTTAGAGACGCTTTTCTTGAAGATATGATGAGATTTTGTGATACTTTAGGTGTTTTGATGTAGCTTAATCATGTTTGAGCAAGATACTCAAAATGGATTTTGGAAAAACAATAAAAACCTAAAGGGTAAACAGATTCTATCTATTGACCAGTTTTGCACCATTTCTTTGTCTATAAGGCTGGTGTAGACGTATTTACAATACATTGTTTCCAACTTAAGATGTTAAATGCTAGATCTTGACTCATTGCTAATGTTTTGCTTGTGTCTCTGTTTTTATGACTAAGAAACTCATTCTATTATCTCCTAATGAGGGTACAGCTCTAAAACTTAGTTTTATGGTTCTGAGGCTGGCTGGTAATCAGGCTTCCTAAACTCTGAGGTAGCTTTTAGAGAGACTAATTCCATTAACAAATGTAAAATATCAGAGTACTAACAGTGCAGTGTTGCACATGTTTGTTTGGATGTTTACCTTTTTCTTAATTTTAATGTGCATTGTCAAGATCACAATAGGAGCCCTTTTTTAAGGTTTAGGGTTTATTAATAGTAATAAAGTTTGTACTATCTGTGTATATTGTACTATCTGTGCTTTGAGTCAAAATCTTTAACAAACCCAAAAATGAGTGAAAAAGTACCAAAAACTGTAAAATGCAAAAATCATCATCATTAAGTTCTCTAAATCAATCATTCACTAATATTTTTAGTCTTTTGTTGGATCTTATTTTCTTGCACCAGAGCCAATATCGTTGTTGGTGGTGACTTAAATGTATATCACACTGAATGGCTTGGTTCTAGTGTCAGTTGCTCTGCAGGTGTCGAGGCTCTCAACTTTTGCCTTTCTCAATCTCTAACATTATTAGTCAACTTTCCAAATTGCTTTCAAGACAATCATTAACCTTCTTTACTTGACTAAAGTCTTGTTTCTAATCTTAGTGAGTGCTCAGTTTCTCCACATTCACCTTGAGGTGCTTCTGATCACGGTTTGATCTCTTTAAAACCATTATCTCATTCTTCTTCATCATCAGAATCCCTTTATCATCCTACCTCTTACAACTACCTTAAGGAGAAATTTTTCATTTTTCTGCTGACAAATGTGCTTCTTATGTAACCTCCTGAATTCAGGCTAGCATGGAATCCTGGTATGGAATCTTTTATTCCTTTTCAACAATTCCAAGTCAAGCCTCACTCTTTTCCATCGTTTGCCTCTAATTGCACTGCTGCAGTTTCCATTCGTAATTATTACTTCCATATCTATTACCAAAACAATACTCCAGAAAACAGACATCTGTTTACTATTGCTAAAAACTATTCTAAAAAGGTTTTGTCTAACACCAAAGCCCACTATTCTTAGGTCACAAAATCTTGTATTTTATCTCAAAATTTAGGCTTCAGAGACATCTGAAGCCTAAATTTTGAGATAAAATACAAGATTATTAAAGATAAAGAATCTTTAATAATGTCCTTTTTATAAGTTACATCAATGATTTCCCTGAAAAGGTGGCATTGTTGCTGAGGCTGATGATACTACCATTTATTCTTGTCTCAATAAGAAGCCAACACTCTCTGATTACTTGCAGGGGGCATTCAAAAAAGTGAGATCACTTCTGCTACAGCATGGGGCTCTCAGTGGCTGGTAAACTTTTACTCAAATAAAACTCATTTTTTTTAGTTAATCATTATTTCAACTATCTAGATCTTCCTATCTTTATGAACGGTAATGTACTTGATGAGTCATCTGCCCTTTGTCTCCTGGATTACTTCCAATCTTTTTTGAAAACCATATATCAAACTCATTGCAAAATTAGCAAATGGTAATTTTGCATGTTAAAATAAAGAGTTGTAAAAAGGTTGCATCTCTTTATCATGCTAGACACTTTTTTACTCCAAATTCTATTCTTTACCCCTAAAAATCTTAAACCCGTCTTTGTATTTAACACTGTTGCCATATCTGAAGCGGATCTTCAAATTATGCTCTTTCTCTTTTTGACAAGGTGCAAAAACGCATTGTAAACATAGTTGGACTTGCTCTTGCAGCAAACCTTCATTCATTGTCACATCGTTGTAATGCTGCTTCTATTTCTCTAATCTATAAATACTATAATGGACACTGCTCTAAGGAGATAGCGCCTCTTGTATCATCTACTAAAATTCATTCTCGTGTTACTCATTATTCAATTAAGTCTCATCCTTTTACTGTAACTGTTCCTAAGTGCTCCAAAAATTCTTATTCATCTAGTTTTTTTCCTCAAACATCAGTTCATTGGAATTTGCTTAGTTTATCTTGTTTTCCTGATTCATTTAATATGCAATCTTTTAAGTCGTCTGTTAATCTTCATCTTACTTTATAAGTTTCATCTTTTCTCTTCCAGTAACTTCCAACTCCAATGGTGGTTGCTTGCAGCCTTGAATGAAGTGAAGATGTTTAAAAAAATTATGTTAATTTTTTATAGTTCTAGGTATCAAAACAAAGAGGAATACTCTGATGTAAGAATACCGCTCATACTTATTTGCCATATATATAGAAGTTTTATAGGAAGAATGGCTGAAAGCTGAGTCTTGATATTGAGCAGGCAGGAGAAACTATTCATTTAAAATTTTGTGAATTCTCTCTATATATAAACTGTCAAGTGAATTTTCTAAAGAATCATACAAAAAGAATTTAGTGTGTGTAGGTCTTTCTTATAGCACAGTAAGAATTCAAGGCTTTTTTATGTCCAGCTTCTATTTGCTAATGAGTTATTTAAACTAAAATGTATTTGATATTTTCTTAGAATTACAATTTGGAAAGCTATTTAATATTGACAACATAATTGTTTTTTACTGTTTACGTTGATTTAATATGTTTAATATTAAATAGATAATTTAACTATAGATAAAAAAAAATAATAATAATAATAAATAAAATATTTTACAGCAAAATAACTTTAAAAATAGATAGTATTATGCTAATAAATTATAAAATCAAAGCATTAGCATTTATCATAAAATTAGTCACATTATGTTATGAAAACATTGTTGCAATATATTACAGTATCATTCAAAAATAATGTTACTCACTAAACATAACAAACACCTGGAGTCGGCTGTGAACATGTAGACTTAATGAACTTAAACTTTATTCTTTTTAAAGAATCTGCATAACCAACTTCTAAGTAAAATGTGTAGTCTTTTTTCTCAAGTAAAATGTTTCTGTTTATTACAAGACTGGGAAGTCGAAAACCTGTAGTTGTAGCATTGTGAACTTCTAGCTCAGGAGGAACTTTCCCAGTATTGTCATTAATGGTCCAAAGTCCTGTTAGTCTAAAGATAAAAAAATAAAATAAAATGTAAAATAAATCTAAACAAGTTTAAATTAATTAATAAATGTGAGAACCAAAAAGTTCATGTATGTTAAAAAAGAAAAAAGTAACTCGCCTTTGAAACCCGCAATCCTCACAATCAAAAGAATATATGACACGATCCATAAAATTCAGTTTTTCCTCACAGTTGGATATACATCTAAGCATTTAACAAGTTAAAACAAATAATGCAATTGAAAAATATTTTTAATATGAAGACATTTTAATTATTATATTTTGTTTTTTTATAACTGCTAATTTAATTTTTTAGAGAAATTTTTTTTTCTCATATCTATATTATCCAACTAATTATTTCCTAAGATTAATATTATTGATAATGAATATATTCTTGTATAATAAGTTTTTAATTTAACTCAAAATAAAGTTGTTTTTTGTCATAATCACAATTACAAAATTCATTGATGAATGGCAACATAGTTATCAAATACCTACTTTTTATATATATAATTTATATATATTAAATATAGGATTATAATTTACTACTGACCTCCTACAAAATACATATTAAATCCACTGTAAAATCAGTGTCTGCTACTGTCTCTAGCATTCATAAGAAATGTGATTGCTAGAGACAATTTCTTGTTTCAATTGAAAAACCTTAGTCTTATTTAACTGGTCAATCTATTAAGCTAAATCTTAAAAGATTATTTTTTAATGCTCTGAAATAAAACTGTTTTTTTTTTCAAGCATCATTGTTTTAGAATTTTCTTTTCTTTCTGCATCAACATCAGTTCTTTGGAATTTGCTTTCTTCATCTTGCTTTCCTGATTCACATAATTTGCAATCATTTAAGTTGTTTGTCAAATGCTATCTTGCTCTGCAAACTTCATCATTACTCTTTCAGTAACTTCCAACTCTAATAGTGGTTGCTTGCAGCCTTGTGGACGCAAAATTGTAAAAAAAAAAAAGTCTTTTTTTTTTTTTACTTTTAATAAACTTAAGCCATATTGAAATCATTCAAAATGGCTAAAGTTATAAGACTAAAAGCTAGGGCGTATTTATTTGATAAAGAAAAACTGATAGAAAAACTTAACTCAAATAACTTTACAACAAATGAAGAATTAATTCTTGGCTTTCAATTTAAGATCTAGAGACAAGTTAACTATGTTCAAAAAGTTCATTATTTATAGTGTTGGACCTAATAAAATTACAAAATTCTTTAGTCTTTTAAATTGCCATGATGACTGTATTCTTTTTGCAGTGAAAAAGCCTTGGTTAGATTGAGGTTACAAAGATGGATTACTTACAGTCAATATAAATATAAATATATAGGTAGGATAATATAAATAGAAATAGAAATATTTAATATAAATAGATATATATAGATGAAAATATAAATTTTGCACTTTTTTATAAAGTTTTTATAAAAAGGTTTTGTTTTGAATACTTACTAACCTGTATCATTTTATTATTATCATTACAATTATTATTACGCCTACATTTGTAGCATTCAAAATAACTAAAAGGTGATTTGTCTGATTAACTTTTAATTCAATTAAAAAACATTTCTTATTATCAAACAATAAAACAGGTGGAGCAACAGTACATTGGTTGTCATGGTGTTAATGTGTGTTATATGGTGTATATATGTTAAATCAGCATAGAGACTCCTGGAAAAGTCTCTTCATCAAATTAATAGTTTAACATTTAAATATATACATATGTATATGTATATATTTTTTAATTATTGTTACGGCATTATTGCGGTTTAAATGTATAAATTTGATTACTGAATATATCAAACTCAAACTCATTGTAAATGTGTCATTACTATTTTGTAATTTCATTTTCTTTTTTATTTTTATATAATAAATTATTATATTATGTTTGTAAGGGTAATATTACTAGTTTATTTATTTGATAATTGGAAGAGATTAAAGAAAATTAAGAACAAAAAAAAAAATCTGCAGAAAAATCTAGGGAAGAATTCAAAAACAAAATGCATGTGTGCATGGATTTAATTGTAAGTTCAGGTGGAAATGTGGCTGATATTTCATTGTCTCATTTAACTATTTGGCAAGCTCAAAAGAAATCTATGCTAGAAAATGCTAAACAATATAAGAAAAATGTTAAAATTATTGCCAGTAAAGCTATTGTTCTCATTTTAGCACATTTTGTTGGGAACATTATGGAAATTACAGAAGGTAAAAAAACAAAAATAGATTCTAATTGAAATGAAGCTGCTTGACATTCCAGCAATTGATCATGGTACTGGACAAGCTCAATGAGGCTTTAGTTAAAATACTGGAAGAATATTGAATATGTGACGATGTAATAGATTTATGTTTAGATACCACTGCTACAAATACAGGAAGATTTTCTGGTACCAATGTCAGGTTTAGTCAAAAACAAAACTCAATTTCACTAGAGCTGGCTTGTATTCAAGTAAAAAGTTATGAATTTTGTCTCAAAAACCAGTATTCCGACCCACTATGCAATGGTCGAATTCATCTTTTATTTCACCTAGTTTTTAAAAACTTCTTTATCATTAGTTTCACCAATCCAAGATCTAAAGCCTATTGGCAAATGACAAAATATTGAGAATACATTAAACAATGCGTTCAGCATTCGGAAACAATATTAAATGGAATTGATGCCATGATGGTTTCAACAGAATCACATGGTACATTGATGAAACTTTGGATCTACTTGCTCTTTTAGATCAAGAAATTTCTGTTGCAAAGAGAGAAGACTTTGCAAAAATGTTTTTTTTAACCAGTTCCTGAAATGTAAGGCATTCAGAAATTAAATTTGTTACAAGCCCTTATCTTTAAGCTAGAAAAACCAAAGTATTGCACAATTAGTGAGAGAAAACTTTTATTTCGTATTTAGTTTATTAAATCTGATTAAACCAAATGATAAACTTGGTTAAACAATCCAACACCACGTAAACACTGACTAATACAACACCCTTGTATTGGTCAGTGTTACGGTCATAATTATTAGCTTGTATTGGGAGTACGTTGATCAGTTTAAGACTTTTTCCAAATTTGTTGCTAAATTTGCAGTGGTTAACAACGCTTTTTGCAGTGGTTAACAACATTTCTTGCAGTGGTTAACGTTTCTTGCAGTGGTTAACAACGTTTCTGAAAGATCTATTAAAGTTGTATCAGACTTTGTAAACAATGTTCACAATGAAGATGATCATCAGGAGCTTCTACTTGCAATTCATAAAAGGTGAAAAAACCTTTGTAAAGCAAAGACTAAGGAAGATTTGCAGTTAGCATATGAAGCAATTGCAAAGTAAATAAAATAATTATTAAATGATACCATTTGTGTTATGACAAAATATTAAATTGTAAATATAATTCTTTAATACTAAGTAATAATTAAACATTTCATTCATTTTTTTTAAGTATATTTATATATATACTATAAAATTCAACAACAATACAATGAGTATTGTATAAGTTAATAAAAGTTGAAGGTCTTCCATATACATCCTAATCTTGAGGCAACAAAACTATTAACAACAATACTCCCTTAAACCACATTGCAATGAGTCCTCTTAATCTATTTATTAAAAAAAATGTATTATTTAATATATATTTAATAGTATATTATTAAGCTCTTAATTATTAAGATCAATTAATACATAGTTCAACCTCCAAGGATCTTAAAATTTGGAAATTGTGATGGAGGAGAAGAGGGATTAAAATTTGGATATTGTGATGGAGGAGAAGAGGGATTAAAATTTGGATATTGTGATGGAGGAGAAAGGGGATTAAAATTTGGATATTGTGATGGAGGAGAAGAGGGATTAAAATTTGGATATTGTGATGGAGGAGAAGGGGGATTAAAATTTGGATATTGTGATGGAGGAGAAGAGGGATTAAAATTTGGATATTGTGATGGAGGAGGAGGGGGATTCACAAATATACTTAAGCTTACGAAAACGTGAAAAATTTTTTAATAAAAATCCTCAAATACCAATAAAGGAACAAACAACCAATGTATGATAGTCTTGTAGATGGTTAAAAAAACAATAATTCAAAACCAAATAATTAAGATTATCTTTTTAATTGACCATCGGCTACTTGGTATGTTACGTTTTTACTATTGTTCAACCTTACTCTAAATATGCATGTTTTTGAGCACAATTCCATTAGTAGAATTGTGCTCAAAAAAATTAAATAGATAAATTTAATTATTCGGTTTTGGCTACATGTTTTTTAGATATTTAAGGTGATTAAATTTACTCATGTATGTTATTTAATTCAAGATATCATAGTATTTTGTAATATGAGCTGTTCTTGCACAAAATATACAAATAAAGGAGAAAAGAGAAAGATATAGACCAATCCTAGAAGGCTACTGTTTCTTCTCAAGTATCCTATCAACCAGTTACCTATAAACCCAGCATTAGAAATGTTCTTAGATACATACAGTTTATCAAATCTCTTCATTGAAATCTCTTCAAGTTCATTGAAATTTAAATCTAATTAGCCAATTAAAGCTTGCTCTCCTGACAGCAGCTCCTTTCTGGAGCTGCTGTCAGGTAAGAAATAATGCAATTTTTAATTTAATATAAATAAAATATAAGTAAACAAGTAACCATACCTTGGTAATTATGAAACTTTATATAACGATTTTTTTATATCATTAAGGGATAAGATTTTGAAACTCTATACTAAGTATTGCAAGCTGATCCATTTGAGAGAACTAAACTGGGATTCCAGAACGGATAGATTTACAAAGATTCAGAGAGAGTTCATTCAGAGAGTACCAAACTCTTTGATATATCTGTACCGAGGTTTGAGGAAAAAATCCAATCAGTCGCCTTCGTACCCAGGATGCCAAGGCGGAAGACATTCAGTTTTTTTTAGACCAGAAAGAGGATCAAAAAATGTAGATAACTACAGAAATAAACTGTTATATACATAACAATCCTGTTTAATAGATGCTTCAAAGAGTTTGAAGCATCTATTAAACAGGATTGTCAGCAGAGAATGAAGAATATGAAGATTACAACAGTGAAAAAAGATAAAAATAAAATGGTTTTTAATGAGGTTTTATATGATTCTGATATCAACTCATCTGCATCCAAGCCAGATGCTGCAGTTTTCACAGATGAAGATAATGCCGATAAATTATTTCAAAAATTTGGTTCTACAGCAAAAGTCAAGGTAAATAAAAAAT